GCGCGTGGGCCTTTTAAGCCCAAGGTTGAGAGTTCGAGCCTCTCGTCGGGCGGAGGAGGACTGCAGTGAAAGCACCCAGAGTTTTTGATCATTGCGAGTTCACTATTTTAAGCTCTGAAACGGAATTGAATTTAGTGGCCGTGTCCATCTTCTAGCAGAGACAGGAATTCTCCAAGAAACAGCGTACGAAGTATGACAGCGTCAGATTTTCGGCTTCCTTTGATAGCTGCGCTCAAAATTGCAACGAAGAATAAACCTCAACACTATCGATCGGATGGCTAGCACAACGAAGGCCCATTCAAAGTATTTTATTGCTCTTTACAAGATTTAATCCATCTGAAGCCCAAGAAGCGACCTAGCTATGTAGCTACTGAAAATCTCGACGACGGAATATGAGCCCCCCCAGATCGGCCCTTTTCTCTACGGTAAAATCCGACGAAGACTTAGAGCAGTTTAGTAATGTAAGTTTGAAGCGAACACGTCGCGCTCAACTCACATTTAGATGAGGAAATTTTCAAATCCAAGCTGTCCACATGACTATCAATCGTAGAATCCCATGAATAAATATTTTTCTGCCCCAGATGATCAAAGAGTAGTGAAGAGAATTGGAGACAAGCAAGGGATCGGTCTCTCAAGCAATGACAATCAATTCTTATTAAGCCGAAGGAATTATGCAGTGGACCTTAAATCATAGTGGGATAGAACAATTCTTAGTGAAAAAGAAAGTCGAATTCTGTTGAGGGCAAGAAACTGGACGGGCATTTCTTGTGATCAAAAGCGTGGATGTGAGTAGGTTAGATGGAGGGCATGATAGTATTATGGCGCTTCTTGAAAGTCAAACAGGGAAACCAATGAGAATAAAAAGAAAGCTTTTCATGTTTGCTGTTCTTTTGATTCTACGACTATATCTGGACAGGTAGGTCTATTATGATCTGAGAAGACGAAGTAGTCTAGACTAGGGTATCGCGTGTGGCTTAAGCTGGTTGTGATGAGATGATCGCAGTTACTCTTGATATATCTCTGCCAATAGTCAGGGATTCAGTACATCTGTGCGAGTATTGCATAGCTCTACATGGCCATCACACAGCCGACTATCAAGGCGCAGCTCTACACAATGGCATAGAGTAATTCGCGATAGTATGGCATGGAACTGAGATATCAGCGCTTCCTGCATAGACGGTGATGTACTACACAGTGACTAATAAATATGTATTGAAGAGTGTCGCCGGATCAATTGATGTCATAAAAAACAGAGCAAGCCCTGAATAAAATCAGATTGTTAATAAAATTGTCACGGTTCGAGTATAGATGCTGGGGCGATCTGAGATACGAAGGTAATTTGAAATTTCTCTATGGCTAATTATCGAAGTATCACTTTACCCGTATATCCGATTGTTGTTAGAAATTGAATCATTGGGGCTATCAAGTAGGCCACGTTGTTGATATACACGTGACTAAAAAATTTGTACTTATTTTCACTTCGGTAGTAATTTGTGTCATACGCTCTACAACCTCAATGACTGAGGGGTCATTATTTCCATAATAATTATTATAATATCCAGATTGTTTCTTGTTGGCTGATATCAGCATGTCGCACATTCCACTCATAATAGTCCCCAGCCTTGCCACCAACTACTAGAATATTTCAGTTGCAGCTGAACCGACCTGTGTTGAAATTATGGAAAACAGAGATAAGTCAGGTGATGCTCAATGGCAGTTATTGATGACGGGTTTGGTTGTTGGGTTTCCTAATTTTCTGTGTTGGGATATACTGTGTCAATGCTACTTGGCTCGAGAATTAGTAGTCCCAACCAAGTGGAGTTTGGCGAACGGAGATTGCGGAGGGCAAGACTGAACACCTGTACGCGGTGTCCTCTACGAACCTGGGAGTGAAATATTCTCCCAGAGCCAAGTTCAGTCAAATTTCGCAATATCAAAGAAGTTGGCCCACGAGGCAAAAATTCAAATTACTCATCCACGTCGTTATTTCGCTCCCAACAAGTTTGACTCCTATCTTCGTCTCATCGAGTCTACAAGTACGACCAAGTACATCCTCATTCCAATGACCACACCACTCTTCGACCTTCTCTGGCCTCAGCTGGTCACCAAATACACGCCCACGCCGATATTTATACCCGATGGAGGAAGGAAAGCGTGGCGCACAAATCTGGGAGACAGTTCTTTGGGATGGATGTGAGAGGGATCTGGACAAGTTGACAAGATGATGCGAAGGACGGATATAACCTCGAAGGGCATGAGATTCCGAATTTTGGCAAGGAGTTTTTGGAATTGGGCTTTGTGCGCGCCAAGACTTCGCTTGCGAGAGTGCAGCTGACACTATAAAAACAAGCAAACGATGGAAGGTGTTGTGGTCCGCCTCCTGGTGGTGTTCTCCGGTATGGTTTGAGTAGCCTGGGCACCTACTCCACTTGGGAAGGAGATATCTCAGATCATATTTCGCGCGGAGAAAAGTTGATGGATGATGGAGGCATGTCTGGATAACTCAGGGTTTTTGAGACGTTTCCCTGGGTGGGTATTCACGGATGAGGGTTGACTTGGGGTGAAGAAAAAGCCACCATAACTTCGCAGTGGTACTTGCAAATGAAATCTGAGGCATGAGTGCTTTTCCTTAACGATGAATCATCTATTCTATACTTTTCTTTGATATTGTGTCATAGCTAGATAGCTGCATACGCAATTAAAATCTGATGCAAAAAAAAGAACGGAGATTGCGTATACCCTGTGCTAGCGTTGTCTACTGCTGTTAATAGGAGATCCCGCACGGGCTATCTTTTGGGGGTAAAAGGAGTCTGGTACCTGTGTTTAGAAGAGTTGTCGAATTGACATCCTTTTATCCTTCATTATTGCATAAGCTTCCCTCTACCAATAAGTCCACGAACTAAGTCGGGGGTTATACATTTCAATGCCCCTGCCTCATAGTGGTGTTTGCAATTGAAATCCGGAATATGTGTGTCTATCACGTCGGAAGAGTCATCCAACATATTAACATAGCACCATCTTGTGTCATAGCCAGATAGCTGAATATATGATAAATGATATAACATAAAGGGCTAAACCCAGTTCGGATCTTACTCTGAACCCTCAGTTTTCTGTGACGCACTGTGTGAGCTCACAATTTTAGAACATATAATAAGATAGCTCCTTGATACACTGATCTAATTTATGCCTTTTTAGGACAGTTGGCACTGGGGTAAAACTAACCAGCTACAGTTACATGTCTTCTGCGTGATGGGCGAAGGCCGAACACCTGTCAGTGGTGCCCTCTACGAACCTGAGAGTGAAGAATTCTCCCAGAGCCCAGATTCAGTTACGAAAAAGGGTGAGATAAAATTTATTTGAGAGATTTTCGACTTGAAGGAGTTGAACTCGATATTCTGGTCGAAAAATCAGTTGGCAGAGATTTCACAGCCGGAACAAAGTTGAATAAAAACTCATCACCACCAACATACGATTCGCGAATGGACCCAGATCTATCTGGGCGTCGTGTTGAAATAATCGACATCTCTCAAACTCCTTGTAGATTTGCGACGAAGCATTTTTCAGTCGATCATACACCTTCGACCCACCTCCATACTTGTCACATCACTTACCTACACATGCCCTAATGAGGAAAAGCTTGATGGAAACAGGACGTATACAATCGAGGGAAGAAGGAGATTATACACCTAGGGATCACACAAATCCTCAATGATGACAACAACCCAACGGTACGATATGAAGGTACAAGGCTAGAGCAACGATGAGGTCTAGGACGGCATTTATATTCCGGGGTCAAAGAGGATGGCAAGGGCTCGGGCGCGTGTTGGCCGATTCTGAGGAGGAATTTGCGCTTCGGCGCGTCAAAAGAGGGGGTTCTCTGGACGGTTGGGCTTGACATGATTCAACACATGGGAGAAGTCTGAGGTGGGATGAGGCACTTGTACTTAACAGTAGTTAACCTGATCCGGCCCGGCCCCATCCGTGCTTAAGCTCCAGTAGGTCTGCAACGGGAATCACTACACTGTGTGTCCAGGTCACGGGACAGGGGATGATAACATTAGTGTTGGAAAATGCTGCTTAGTCAGCTGGGTGATTCGGTTAAACCCCCTCACCCTATGTATTTAGCACACACACATTTTTCATATATCTTACTGCACTTCTATACATATTCTCCACATACCTTATCTTACCCCCTACCTATTCTCGCCACTGTGATTCCACTCTCTCAATAATCCTAACAGTTAGTATGGTATATATTATGTAATCATAGGTAAGTGTGTTTGTAGACTTAGGGAGTTTCTGGTTAGCATTGAATGAACAACGACCTTACACCAGACTTAACGAACTCCACAGGCATTCTGCAATCCAAGATTACAGGCGTGCTTTGAGTTCACAGTCTACAGTAAGACATTCGTGACCCATATACGTAAACGCCCAATACTTAGCACGTTAATGAACAAAAAAAAGTCTTCTGCGTGAGGAGTGTGGCACGTGCACCTTGTGCAGTCCGTGAGTCTCACTCGATTACACCTACTCTCTTTTTGTTGATCAGACATGAGGACACTTGTTTAAACTGCACAACTAGGGAATTCAAGCTGGAGTGGTGACTATGGGTGAATTTACATAATTTAGTTCTCGCGCGGTACTTGAAGGCCAGCTTCTTGTCTTGTTTCTATTCTTGATGGTATCTAATCCGTTTGGTTGGACAGCTCTGTCGCCTCCAACCCAGTCCATTCCGTGTTCACCCTCTGTTGAAACTATTTCATCTAGTCTAACCGAAACCAGGTTAAATCAGGAGGGTTGACAGTGAAATTTCTTCACCTCATGTTAAATTAGTTTTGCATCTGAATAGAGACAAGATCTCCTTTCGCTGTTACTGGTGAGCTGTTGATAGGATTTGTAGCAACTACGGAATCACCAAAACAGTTGATAATATTTCTCTTACTGCTTAGCATCCTCTTGAAGACTAGCTACCACTTAGTCAGCTACAGAAATGTGTATTAACTAGGTTCGCTTATTATTTTTCTTGAATCATGTTGCTTTTTTATCTCTGATGTTGATTTCCGGACATATACTTCTTTGAAACACTGGGCTAGAAGGGCCATCGACGAGACGATCATTAGTCCAAAGTTAATCCACAATAATGATAGAAGACGCCGACCACTTTCAGCACGAATACCTAGCCCTGAGCCAAGCTGGCTGACTAAGCATTTCACCAGAACCCCGATGATAGTCTGGACAACTGCCACCACTCCAAAGCACACTGCAGCTGTCAAAGCCAGAATACCAAGACAGAGTCGTAATTTGAAGGTTCGAAAACGATTTATAAAAAGGAGGGGCGAGAGGAGAAAGACCAGAGCGCAAAGGGCGACACCAACAATCTCCACCACAAAAATTGATTTCAAAAATGTACTGAGAAGCCCTAGTGTCATCGTAAACTTCTTAACCAAGTTTAAAGCTGAGAAATCAACAATTGTGTTACCAATCTGAATCGTATCTTCTGGTTCCCTAGACTTGGTAGTTTCTAACACAGCTTATCAGCGAATAGATTCGTAGACAGGGGTAGACGGCTCTGACTTTGAGTCGAGCTACAGCTTACAACACCGAGCTCTTTAAAAACTTTTTTGTCTTTGAAATCCCCAGAGCAAAATGCCCCAAGGTAGAGCCCATACCATTGTCGGACTCCTAGCGCATGTAAAATCTCAGACACTATCGCGTTAGCCCCGACTTTTATCCCATTTTCAACTATATTAGTTGCCGTGTTGGTAAATTGATTCCCGAAATTTATAATGTCAGAAATCACACTTTTTTCCGGGGATCTAAGTTGTTCCAAGCCTGGTGATTCGGCGGTGTTTTTGAAAGCAGTGTCAAAAACTTTTGTCAATTGATTGATACTCTCGCTTAGGAAAACAGAGGGATTGGCCGGCAGGGTTGAGTTCCTAGGATTTTGGGTGCCGGAGGTGGAAGCCAGATCAGGAGCCGATGTGGACCCAGCACGACTCTCGCTAGAGGACGCCTGTCTGAATTTAATAGCATCTTGCAAAAAAGTGGAAGTATTGAGCTACGTAGATAGAGTTGGTATAGCATTCAAGAGACAGAAATTTGCGACAAATTACCTCGAAAGTGTAAAACTGCTGAAGTGAATTATTTTGGCCATTGGATGCCATAGAAATCGATGAGAGTATAATAACAACCAAAGCAGATATCAACGTAAAGATAGGCACGATTACATCTCCATTGACGGTTTTGAATTTAAGCTTTGTAGCGACTGACATGTTTAGTTAAAAAATGAGTGAATAATAAAAAGAATGGGAGATTCCTATATTAAGTCATCAGCTTCCGCTCGCACAAAACTTAGAATCAATGTACAAATCCTATGAAATTTTGAGAATTAGTTACATCCTCATCTTTGGTGCAGCGAGCGCTAAGAATCTATTGATTAGAGAGAAAAGAATGTTGTATCATATTGCTCTTTGTTTGGCATTGATTATATCAATTTAGCTAGTCATTTAATGTTTCATACTTTGAGATCTGAGGAACAGCAATAGTCAGATAAATTTATTATCATTATATCTTCAGAACTATTTATTTAGAGAATGTTGGGCATTACAACGACGCAAGTGAGAGCCTCCATTACACCACCCTGTCAAAGGTCAAATAATGAGGAATTTTTAGGTGTATTTATTGACAAGTTCGCAGAACATGTTAGTTCTCGCCTATGCTGAGAAAATATTAGACGAGAAACCTGAGTCACGCAAATCTAAGTAAAAATGTAGCCGTCTTGTTGAAATGGATGGAGTCATGTTGACCACGTCAAGTCATGACGAGACATGTGTTTGTAATTCGTCATCTGTCCTGACGCGAAGATTATTTAGCAGCTTGATTGATAAATTCCAAGACATCACTCGCTCTGAGGAATGAAGAGCGAGCAGAAATAGATATAGGATCCTGGGGTTCAGATGTACGCCTGCATATATTTATATTTGTACTGAGCTATAAACATTTAGATCTGGGTCCAACTGAGCATAAATTATGCGAATGGCACATCCCCAGTGATCGTCTAACACATTAGATGAGAGGCACAGAATCTCAAACCCTGTCTGCAGCTTCTCCTACTAATCCCCAGCTCTCGCCATAGGATCTACAGTGCGAAGATTGAGTCCAACACTACCTAGGAGAGCGTCTAATGTTAAAAAGTCTACGGAACTCTCTACCAAGCAAGATGACATAAAGGAATGATATTAGGTTACTTTACAGCATACAATCTCTGCCTAGATATTCTGGTATTTTAAACGCGACCTGTAACTTTTCCCAGGACGTTTTGGTGAAAGGAGTTACAGGGAGTGTAGCAAGGCAGAGACTACTTCTCGAAGGTGGACACAAGTCCGCAGCGATCGGCTAGACGACCTGGAATATTTCCAGTAGGTAACCGTTTATTTGGATTTCGGCCTGATTTCTACGTAGAGCTCATAATCCAGTAGTTTTTACAGGTGTTCTCAGCTGCCATTCGCCCACAAACATCCAACGTCTTGTTGATGGTGAGAGGGAATGATGTATTGCAAAAGACTGCATATGACGGAATGAAGACTTGCAAGGAATGATAATTTTAGAAGGGAACTGCAGAGGGGGCTTAGGAGACAATCTAAATTTCGGTACAAAGATATCCTTAGTATGTAGGCAGAAGCGACCCACATTTACTGTAAAGTTGTAAACCGAGAATAGACATAAAAAAGACGACTGAAAGTTTGGAGTTTATTATTTTTAAAGTTCCTAATGATATAAGATTTGGACAAAGATCTGGTCGAGTTACATAAATGTGATTTTATATTGAGAAAGAAATTAGTGCCACCGTGAGATCACCAATATATTTACTCATTGGGATCGCTTACTTCAATTCATTCAACCAGCATGTTCAACTATTTCATTCAGCACTTTCCCACCATCGATCCATGTGCGAATCTGTTCAGGTAGTGGGATTTCTTTATAATCATCATCATCTTTCGAAGCGTCCAAAATATTTAAGTTAATACCGGTAGACTTACTACTGAAAATTTCAGTACCCAGGCTATCCTTTCCTAAGTAGACTTGTGCGCCATCGACTGAATCCATTAATATAGTTGGCAGAGTGCCAAGTACCTGCATTGCAAAAGAGGAAGATTTGATTATATCTACTGAGGAGACAAGTGAGTCAACGATGAGAGAGAGCTTAGGAGAGTTGTCAATAGAGATGGCATTCGCCTTGCCATGAATTATGATTGTGGTTTTTGAACAACGACTTATTATAATAGACTGAGAGATTGAGGCTTCAATTTTTACGGGCTGCGGTTCATTCTCAAAGTTTTCCTGATACTGTTAGTTTATGTTGTGAAGACAAAACTTAACTCACTATAAACCATTTATTTCCTTCCAACTTTTTGACTGAAGGCTTCTTGGTCCGCATACTTTCAGGCTTGGGTTTTTTTCCAGGGATTGGACTTTTGGAAGGACTGATAGAGGAGGCACTAGTGTTGCTGTCACTTCTTGCCAAGACTGTAGCGCCAGCTCGTAGAGATGGATTTTTATGGGTCATCTGGTCTGAACTTATTTTTTTCAAACCCTTCGTGATGTCTGCTCCCTTATTTATTTCACTGAAAACTGCTCCTATTCCATTTTTTGAATTAGTTTGTTTAGAGTCATCAAGGAGAATAGATGGAGGTGGCCCTGGTGGAGGTGGTGGAGGTGGTGGAGGGGCACCAGGTGCCTTGGAATGGTTTGAGAAAGATGGAGGCGTGCTTTTTTCAACAACTTTGATTGCCTCTTCTGCAGAGATACCACTCGAATTCCAAAGAATCCCGGATGGAAAGGTTTGCTTGACATATTCGGCTAAGTCATTAAAAACTTTATAGTAAGACTGAATCCATTCAACTTGCTTTGGGTCCCTACAAAAATCAGATTTAAATCACACCATGAAGGTAGATTTCTCACGAGTCTTTATAATCTTTCAGTACTCTATTTCCCCAATATTGTGCAGAGCCTAGATACTCCATGATATGTTTGTGCGGTTTTGGCTCTACGGTTATCCAGGCGAGGACGCCAATACTTTCCGAGACAGCACTCAGTTGATTGAATGCAAGAGAGCCCCGGTTTGAATCTCGAATCTCACTTATGGCGGTGATCGAGTCCTGTAGAGGTTTGAGGAGCTGCATGAAAGTAGCACTGCTCATATCTGGTTTTTTAGCCTTGGTTGTGATAAAGATAAATTTCCGCTGTCCAGAAAATGCCTTTAGAAGACTACAGGCCTGTAATTTTTAGATCAGGTAGAGTGGCGTAGGTCTGATTTACCTGTTCAGCTACAGGACCCCCTAATTTGTTACTTATATTCACGAAGTTTTGAACAGGGCCAGAGATAAATGCATCAAACTCCTCTACTGATTCTGGCAGGTCTCCAGGAACACATTCATTGATCTGTGAAGCTTGTGCAGCTGGTGGAGACAGAGGACTAGTTGTAGATATGACGGGTACCCCATCTACTTTGGGTAATTCAACGGTTGAAGATGCTATATCTTCCAGTCGGGAGGTTGCAGCTTCTAGCCTACATAGGTGTCAGTAAGTTGGTTCTGGCGGCAGATATCACCATCTTGTCTTTGAAGCAGGGATAAGCTCCAGTTGCCGTGAGACCCCCATTCGATATATTGATTTTTGAACAAAAGTAGTTGAAGTATAACTGTACCGTTTAATAAGTGTTGTCAAATTGTGCATGTTGTTGGTCCCCGGTGGCATCGCCATGGCTGAGATCCGGGCCAAAAGGGGAGGAGCGAGTGAGAGGTGTAGCTAGCTTGAGATAGATGTTGGGAGGAAGTTGTAGACGATGAATAGCAAGTTATTGTAAGCTAATAGGGATGGTGTATATATTACACAGGTGATAATTGAAGGAGCTAGAATTGGGATGTCTGTCTCATAAAAGCAGCAGCTGTCTGTGTCATCTATCAAGTTTCGGGCCAGCCTGGTCAGGAAAGCCTTGGCGGCCCGTCAGATCTAGAAGCTTAAATTAATGTCTATCAATTTAACGAGGCAGATTGTAATGTCTTGTCATTCCTGATAAAAAATTATTCTCAGCATACTGATACCCGTGAAAAGTGTAGGAAGATTTGGTGATTTAACAAAGCCTATGGTAAAGGTCGGGTCAACACTTTTTAATTATACAATTTTCATTACTCAGTCTAAGACTATATAGGACATGCAGGTCCCTTCTGCCTAAAGGCTAAGGATACCTATACCAGTAGTATATCACCTCCTATGCCTCCACTACAGCTCCCCTCAGGCAGCATCACCCCTAAAAAGGCCCTCATTCGATTCTACGATCAGAGGAGTCAGTCGCCTTTCATCATATCTCCTCTTCAGCCAACAAAATGATGGCCATATGCGGATTTATGGTAGTCGGGGAAAATCACAAATACAACTGGATGCAGGTCTCCTCTAGTCACGATATTAGCACTGAATCATAAAAAAAAGCTGCTGTTCTGGAGCGCTCCAAGTGGCTAGCTAGCTGGGCGCTGCAGACTTGTGAGTACCTAACGAAAGCCACACTTTGCTATTCTAGCTTCCTTTTTCTCCCCGGAGGTCAAGGTTGACATCCGGAGAGTCTTGAGATTGCTTGCTCCTAGTCGACAACTAGATATCCAAATTTAGGGGAACTTAAGCGATGGTTTATTGGCCACTATTTCTCTAGAGATAGCATTAGAAGTCCTAGATAACCAACCTCTAATCAGATACAATTAATCGACCCGTTTCACGATTGAAGTCCAATCATGGAATAGGGCATGACCCTCATCACCTATTGGCAAAAATTGAGCACAACAATATACAAATTTACTATTAACTTTAAAGCTATTTAGATAGTTTTAGCTGTCCTTCATGGTCATAGACTCAGTAGGGACATAGATTCTATTCTATTCTAATCATGGAAATCACGGGTGAAAAGAAACGAATAGCCTCAGTTGGTAAGGAGCCTAAATATAACTTTTGCATGGACGATCCGCCCAAAGACCCTGGATCAATGGCTAGCAAAGGACACTAGAGTAATAAGGCTTACAACAGATCCCCTGATATTTCAGTTGCTTCTGGAAACAAATGTAGTGGAACACCCCCTCGATGATCATAATATTCGGGCATCGTTGTCTGCCACTCGAGTAGAGCCGATTAGGATTATCTTAGGCTTTGCTTCGACAACTTTTATTTGCGGCATTAACAAACTTACGTGTCTTTTTTCTTCACATAAAACCACCAATAGTCTGATACTCCTGGTCATGTTCAAAATCTAGATGTCAGGCGGTTTAGGTGACAATACGTGCTGCAGAATAAAATGCGCAAGTTTGCTGCAAGTATTTTATATACATGCACCTTGATACGAATAGTGCGACCAGTCTGTTCTAAATCTGTTACGAGCCCGAACAACGCATCGAACCCAAAAAGTAGGTATCAAGATAATCTATGCCTGGCACTTGTCATGCACGAAACCTCATAGCATGCGGGCCAATCAATTCTCTTGGGGACACAAGGCTGAGAACAGAATCAGACCCGAACTCCTCGGCCTTGCCGTATTTAATTTAAGAAACTCCCCGGCGAGTCAGGAATGCAAGCAAACCGACAAGCTTCATAATACAACAAGCTGTCCGCTAAGAATGTCAGACAAAAGAACTGATGTGTCTCCTGAACAGGAAATCGAATTTTGCACACTTGGAATGTTTATCATCGGTAAGAATGAGCTGAAGCCTACTGAATCCTCATCTTGTCGTAGTCACGACAAGCAGCGTCTTTCCTTCCACATACCTATGATGCAGTCATACCTTAAGAAAAAGTCCAAGCTGGTCCAAAGATGAGCCAGTTTATGCTGAAAACTCTCAAGTATGTATACCAACATGAAGTATATTTTCATCATCGGCCACACAGCTCCGAGCTCGGGCAAACTTTTTTTGTAGGGAACGGCAAGACTCATCAACTCGTGTAGCGCAATACCTTATCCAACCTCTTCTTCCCACTTTCATGGGGACGAATGGTCTAGGTTTAATTTTTCGCTCTTTTCTAATACAAAGTGGCAGATGAAATACACTATCAACCTCCTACTCCTCCTGTTTCAAATATAATGGGAGGAGCAGGCACCTTCGCGGCTCTTGGAGCGCGTTTATTCTCTCCACCCCCCCTCTCTAAGCGAGTTGCCTGGATCGTTGATGCTGGCTCTGATTTTCCTTCTTCCATGATCCCCATCATTAATAACTGGGAGACGTCAGTTCTGCTCCGCAATGACTCCTTGCGACTTACCACGCGTGGTCGGAATAGATATGATGCAGCGCAGCATCGTGATTTCGAGTATATAACGCCAAAATTGACGATCGATATCACAGATTTGCAGCATCAGCATGCCATGCTATTAAGCAAGTCATTCCATCTTATATGTTCTCCTTTGCGCTGTATATCGCTAGTAACAAGGCTTCTCGATGCACGGAAGCAGATCAATCCTCTCGCTCCTAAGCCGCTAATCGTGTGGGAGCCAGTCCCCGATTCGTGTATTCCTTCTGAGCTTTTGAACCTCACAAATTGCCTACCTTATGTCAACATTTGCTCACCAAACCATACCGAACTGCTCAGTCTTATTTCTGGACCCTCGCAGGTAGATCCAAATGAAATCTCATTCGACCCTACGGCTATAGAGGCAGCCTGTGATCAACTTCTCGCCGCAATGCCGCTCCAGAATTATGCTTTTGTGGTGCGAAGCGGAGCTAATGGGGTATATATAGCTAAAAACGGGGGTAGATCCCGGAGGCCATCCAGGCGGCCTTCTCCGTCGGGTCGAGCTCGTCAGCGGAGGCCCGCTAATCATGCCAGGGGCGGATTAACCCCAGAAACTGATATGGAGGCTCTGTTCGCAGGGTTCGACGCCGAATTTGACCGAGGCCCTCTCCCCATAGACCCGGGCACCAGTCTCTGGCTACCAGCATACTATGAGCCTGATAAGACGCAGAAGAACACTCACTATTCCAAAATATCCGAGGCAAATAATGGAGAAGATTTAATTCAGACACAAGATGTGGGAGGAATTATACCGGAAGCACCTACACCGATAGAACCCAATACCTCAAGAAATCCGTTTTCCCGAATTGTTCCAATATTTCAGTATCCACCTGCACAACGAACCAGGGTTATCGACCCAACAGGCGCTGGGAATAGCTTTCTAGGCGCTTTGGCAGTTGGTCTCGCGCGCGGTTTAGACCTAGAAGAAGCTATATGCTGGGGCTGCGTAGCGTCAAGTTTCGTAGTTGAACAGGTTGGTGTTCCCACCCTTTCAAGCCCGGATTCGTCAGGGAATAAGATGAACATCACAATCCAAGATGGAGGTGTAGAGGAGCTATGGAATGGAGAGAGTGTACAAGAGCGTTTAAATACCTACCTCAGTCGAGTACGAGACAGTAAAACTCATGGCTAAACAGGTGTTTTTACACGCTTCGCAATAATATGACTTGGCTTTGGGGAGAAATTCCGATAATTCTGTTTGCTCGGGGAGATGAAAATTTGGTGAAGCTGGGTGTCTAGGTGAAAGTACAAAAGAGCGTCTGTTGATAGAAAAGTTTTGCATTTGCTTTGGCCTCGATATTATTATTAAATACTTGCAACCTTACCCCCTAACTCTACTGTGAGATCTTACTGTACTCCCGCGTCTATTAGAGACTCGTGAGCGACGTGTAACGAGGTCAACTCAAGCACCTGATCCTATTTCTATACATTACTGGATAAACACTTATCCTAGATCCTTGGGGCACAGTCAAGACCGTAATACTTTACTAAGTGACGCCTCGGCGCTGGAATAATAGCTGGCACTGAGCATATCGACTTGGTATAAGACAAAACAGGCAGGCCAGATACTCTACACAATGCTAAGATGATTCTTGGGTAGTCAGCTTATCACTCTTTCTAGACATCTCATGCAGAGCCCTAATCTTAGATTGAATTGCAGTAATAGATGTAGAAAAGATGTTATGAAGGTGAGTCGATATAGCCATAACTAAACCTTGTAGACAGTCGTGCCATCCAAAAACATTAGCTGATTAAGTCGATTCATCTCAGTGAGTGCCGCTATTACTTCATCGTTTTCAAAGCTGCGTTCAGAGTTACGAGCTACATATTTATTCACGGCGTCCAGGATAGATTTTACATCGGCGCAGTCGTCTACAAATAGTTCTGAATTCAGGAGCTGACCAAGGCTGCGACGGAACAGGGACAATCGATCAGGCGTGATGGAAGAGTTGAGAGATAGGCCAGCAGTGCCGCTGCTAAGGTCATCCTCTACCTGTGTGCTTATTTCTGGGTGGGAAGGTATCTGTGAGGCAGGAAGTGAGGATGCAAACGAGTTCTGAGACATAATTGCACCGGAAGATGGCCCGATATTGCGTGACGTCTGCGAGTTGACTTGGGAAGAAGCGATAGTAGATTCCAGCTGGCTCTCGTTTTCCAAGACTACAGAGCCATTTGGTCTATTGGCTTCTGGCCTCGGACTATTTTTGGCATGTAATCCTCTTCGAGGACGAGCGAGTGTTCTAGCGCGCGACGAAGTCCCACGTTTAGAGAGTTGTGGAGAGTCAGAGTCGGAATCGCTTTCGCTGCTACTCTCCATGCCTTGGAGTGGACGTGTTTTACGTCGCTTACTCTGTTTCTTCTCGTCCTCATATACCTCCTTGAAAAGTGCGAATCGTAGGATACTCTCGGCACAAAGGGCATCGCGCTCTTCGACGCGAGGTGAGAGACGAGCTTTCGCGTGCGCAGTGGCAAGACGAATAATTGTCTCAAGTGTACGTACAGTCATAGGCGAAGTCTTACGCTGGTTGCTCTGCATATCATCGTTACGAAGAGCCACATAAATATCAGAAATTCGGTCTGAAGCTTCTGTTGTAAGGATCGGCTTGATTCTATTCTTGGCGTATTGAATGTACTTTTTCACAAAAGGAATACTTAGGACTTCCACTCTTTTGTTAGCGCCGCGGCCTGTCGTAAAAGTCACACCTGCGTGTAACATTTGGTTGTATTTTTCATAGACTTCTGTACTTTTATTGGTGGCGGCGTCTTGATCAGCCCCGACACCGAGAGATTGTTGAGATATCTCCCGAACGGGTGCTCCATCCTCAGTTCCAGGTTGACGGTATCGATGCATGCGAAGAACATGCTCTGAAATCCTTCGGTCCCGAGCATCGTCAATATCATCAGTGACTATAAAAAGTAGATCGAAACGAGATAGAAGTGAGTCGGGTAGGGCAATATTTTTGTGGGGGTCTTTGTGTGTATCATATTGTCCAAATATAGGGTTAGCAGCTGCAATGACACTACAACGGGCATTGAGAGATGTGTGGATGCCTGCTTTGGCGATGGTAACAGTCTGTTGTTCCATAACTTCGTGGATGGCGACCCGATCGATATCCGACATTTTGTCGAATTCGTCAATACATACAACACCACGATCAGCAAGAACCATAGCACCAGCTTCGAGTCTTCGTTCTCCAGTTTCTTTATCGGAGGTTACGGCAGCCGTGAGACCAACGCCAGACGAGCCTCTTCCAGTTGTCGCGATGGCTAAGGGCGCAGTATTTAGGACGAACCGTAAAAGTTGAGACTTCGCTGTAGATGGATCACCAACCATTAGTAAATTTATATCTCCTCTCAAATGGGTTCCATTTTCCAAGTTCTTTTCCTGGCCACCGAGTAACATTAGAAGAATTGCTTTTTTGATATATTCATGGCCATAGATACTTGGAGCAAGTGATTGAGAAAGGAGGTCGAACAAGTTTTTTTTTTTGGAAACTCTGTTTATGTTACGGATGTCCGTGTCTGTAATAGTGGCTGTGGCAATTCCACCTCCAGACTTTGAGGAGAGTAAAACTACGTTGTTGGCAAGAAGTGCGGTTTTAAAGAGGGCAGTATTATGGCCGGCATTTCTATTTCCAAGTGATCTATAGATACCAACAAGCTGAACACGATCTCCAGGCTTGCATTTGTCGACGAGATCATCATCTAGAATGACGTCTACTCCCCTCGGTAACTGACCAGCTGGCGCATATTCGGGCATTTCCTGGATTGATATTGTTTGATGATCTCTGTATGTACAATATCCATACTCAGTGATGAGGGGGTTTCCAGCCTCATCTTCTTGGGGATACACACTAGAAGTAGTTGCACCATTGGCGGTCATTGTTTGATCTTGATACTCTCTAAAATGAAAGACCTTTTTCTTCTCATTATAATGCACACTTTTCACAACTTTTGGCCGGACGAGAGAGCATCTTGTCACAATACCCTCGAGGGAGACCATACGATTGAGATGTGATGAAGAGAGGGTTCTAGGATTGCAAGCGAACTGCCCAAAGCTACCCGAAAAGGCGCAATAGTACATCACATCTTCTGAAGTTTGGGTAGGAGTGGTATTCGGCAGGGTCTGTATAACTTCTTTTAGAGCTCGATCAAACGCTTGAGCAAAATCGAATGGGTGCTCGAGTAGGCCTTCGGCAAGTGCCAAATTGCGAGCTCTAATATCATCAATACTGACTACAAGTCTTCTTTGAAGTTTCTGTAGCATCAAGATGATGTCTGATCTATAGTTTCGCAAAACTTGATCACCTTGAAGCAGTTAGCTGAGTACCCTTGATGGGTTGAACATTTGGTTACTTGGATCTAGAAACTCCTGTGCTGCCCGGACACGATCGCGTACAGCCTCATCACGAAGCTGCAAACCGTCCATTCTGAGACTGATTTACAAATAATTAGTGTTGAAGACGTGTTGACATTACAGAGAGCGAGTCGCGTCTCCTCGGATACGTCGGGATACTGCGTGTGTGCATCGCGACAACAGACTAATCTTGCAAACGCGTATCGTTAGAAAATAATGGCTGTTTTCACTACGATCACTCAAGATCATTTTTACTTCAATCACCCCAGAAGCCATCAAACGGCGCCATCTAGTTGTCTGCAGTATTAATATTTAAAAGAGGGTATATCATTCGGTAATAGTCCTCCGATTTTATTATCTCATGTTAAACATGATTCTGATAACATCGGAACACACGCCTACACTGTTTATCCCAGCGTACCACTTTTTTTAGTGCACTATTTTCCTGTCTCAGTCTATGACCATATAGGACATGCAGGTCATCTCAGATTACAGGCTAGGGAGACTAATACCTGTGTTATATATCCTTCTATGCCTCATACACGGCTCATGTCAAACATTACCACCCCTCACAAATCCTCATTTGCTTATACATCTAGACGAGCCAGTCTTGCTCCGGAGGGCAAGACTGAACACCTGTACGCGGTGTCCCCTACGAACCTGGGAGTGAAATATTCTCCCAGAACCAAGTCCAGTCAAATTTCGCAATACCGAACAAGTTGGGCCACGAGGCAATGATTAAAATTACTCCACCACGTCAATTTTCACTCCCAACAAGTTCGACTCCTACCTAAGTCTCGTCAAGTCTACAAGTACGACCGAGTACATCCTAATTCCAATGATCACACCTCTCGTCGACTTTGTCTGGACTCAGTTAGTCACTAATACACGCCCTCGCCGATATTTACACGCGACGGAGGAAGCAAAGCGTGGCTCAAAAATCTAGGAGACAGTTTTTTGGGGTAGACGTTAGAGGGATCAAGATACGTTTACAAGATGATGCAAAGCAAGGACGTAACCTCGATGGGCATGAAATTTGGAGATAAAGCAAGAGTTTTACAATTTGAGATTTGTGTGCACCAACACTTTGCTTGCGGTAGTGCACCTGACACAATAAACACAAGTCAACCATGGGAGATGTCGTAGACCGCCTCCTGGTGGTGTTCTCCAGTAAAGTTTGAGTAGCCTGGGCGCCTACTCCACTTGAGAAAGAGACGCCTGTACCACATCTCGCGCGGAGAAAAGTAAATGGATAATGATGGATGTCTGGATATCTCAGGGTTTTTGAGACGTTCCCCTGGGTGGGTATTCACGGATGAGTATCACGTGGTTTTCTTGGCTAATGCCAATCACAACAACTTGCAAATGAAATCTGAGGCATGAGTGCTCTTCATGTCTATTGAGTCATCTATTATGTACTTTTCTTTGATATAGTGTTATAGCTAGATAGCTGCGTACACAATTAAAATCTGATGCAAAATAAAAACAATGCCCATGATACCCTGTTGGTGGATGAGCCGGATTCGCACCTGTACCAACCCACTTTGGGGTGCAGAGGCTCACGAGAGAGAGCTGTGTTTGTTGTACTATATGAGTCTTAGACTATCTAGCACATTGGGTAGGGCCTCAAAAAACTACGCGCGGCACGTGATCTAACTCATACGGTCCATGTTACAGGTTGGCTGTAAAACAATGTTACCCTCATGAGCTGGATACTTAGTCCTAGCTAATTTTTATTACAGATGAGCGGTATACAAGAGCGCCTGGATATACCAGGTGTGAAGCCTAGAATTACTACGAGCTTGACACAATATGTTAGTAAAACGGGGGGGACTATTCTCGACACCTGTCAGTGGTATCCCCTAAGAACCTCCAGCTATCATTGTAGAGTCTGCAGAGCCGAGATTGAGTAACAAAGTCCTCACTTCGAAGAGGATTCCCAATCGCTTTCGCGGTCTGTATCGTCTTCATCTCTGAACACATTCCCCTATCACTATTATCATGAAGCTAACTACGATCAGATCAGATGGTAGGGTCTAAGCCCTACTCATCACCAACCCTTGATCATGGAGGAGAAGTCATCCGATGAGTTTCCTGAGCCTACCCAGCACCCGATACGGAGATGGTGGATTGGATCAAGTCGACTTCAACCGTTACAAAGAAGGGAGATATAGATGAATATGCGCACCTCATGTGGTCCCGGTGTCTAGGCCTCGCCTGGCTGCGGCTGCAGGTTTTTTGAGACTTTTTCCCGCGCACGCAGTTTCCATTGCTACCATTTTTATTTTTTTTGGGTAGAAGGTTCCGTGGAAAAGGTGGCCGAATTTCACGGGTAAATACTGAGCTGAATGGCTATTCATCAAGGGGAATATATCAATGATCTTTTAAGAAACATGAGAGGCAAGGAGCACTGTACAAGGTGTGGCCTGGGTCAGAGAGGAGTCTATTGGTATGACAAAGGTCATGCACTAAAAGTTATGAGAGTACTTTTTTAAGTATTTCGAACTATCGTTCAGAAGATGTGCGCATTCATGGTTCATTTTTGTTCTTCTGAGATGATGCTATGGAATTGCTATCTAGCCTACATTCGGGTAATACTTTATCCGAGTGTCAGCATACACAAATTAAGTGGACTAGCCAATGCAATACAACAACCACCGACCCAAATAACTCCATCTAGATGAATCATTCCGACAGAGCCCAATATTTTAGATAGTCTAAGACTCAAGCAGTACAATAAAAACACCTCTCTCTCTGTTTTTTTATATTTCTTAACTTTCTATTCATTGATTTTGATTGAATTTAACGTCGTGCCTGTCCACAGCTCGTGACTACTGTCATGTGCTGGACAGCCCAGTCTATATAAAACTACCCGACGTTAATGCATTCAATAACTGGGTGCGTGTCCCAGAATTATTCGAAAGGGCACAATGAAAAGCCTGATTCGAACGAAATCACGATCTGATGTTAACAATTTTTTCCTTTTATTATGAATTTGATTTCATTCAACCCGATTTGGCGCTCTGTGGGCCCATGCAGGCGGCTTTGAACCTATCTATATAATTACATGAGGAAACCTTGCGGTAAAAAGCCCCTGCCCGCATTGAATTTTTACGTCTGTAGTCCTTCGTTAGCTACAGGAAGTGCAATTGGCCTTGAGTCCGAGACAGGACTAGCTAGAATTATATTGGACCTCGCCATCCTTTCCTTGCCCTCGCGTGCTGAAAAGAGACGACTGTGGTCTTGAACTTGACCCCGATGGTCAAAATACTTGTGGTGTGGGATTGACCGGGAGCTATTTGCGCGGGCGTCCTGGTCCTCTCTTGAGTACCTCCGGCTTCTGGTGGGACACCAGTGTAAACCCTTGGTCTTCCGTTATTTTTGTCGTTGTTGATACTGTAGTAGCCGCAGGCAAGTTTTATTGTAAAATTCGGATGATTTTTATTTCCTCCTATATGAGCAGGTCCATATATGCATAAAATTTAGACCCAGTTTCTATCATATCTTTCCCACTTACTATGCGCATTCTCAACTAGAATTGTTGAGATTCGTCTTATCTCCACCTAGCGCATACCACTTCCCTGTTAATAGTTGGCAATTCCAACTTCATTCTTACGCAGCGAAATAAGAGCAACACCATAAGGAATTCTCATTACATCATGTACTAATTCAGCAGATATTATGATATCACAATCAGATTTCCTCTCTTGCCAGATCTGCCGTTCTTTCTATGAGTTCATATCGTGCCCTCTGGACACTTGCCTTATATGAAGCGAAGATAGGACACGCCCCCTTCTGCCACGATTTATGGCCTTTACCGTAGTTGCAGCAAAGCACCAACTTCCTCGGGCAGTCTCTAGTCTGATGAATGCCCGCACACTCACCGCATCTTTTCGCCTTGGTGCACGAGGCTTGAGTATGCCCCCATTCGCTGCAGTTAGGCACTGCTTGACTTGCGCTCGGGGTGACAAGAGCTGGGCCGTTTACAGTATCGAGTTTAGCACAATGCCGTTTCTTGTCACTTCGCATTGATGTGCGTCAGTCGGCAAACTCGCGACGATTGATCCTAGACTACTTCGTCTTCTCAGATCATAACAGACCTACCTGTCCAGATATAGTCGTAGAATCAAAAGAACAGCAAACATGAAAAGCTTTCTTTTTATTCTCATTGGTTTCCCTGTTTGACCTTCAAGAAGCGCCATAATACTATCATGCCCTCCATCTAACCTACTCACATCCACGCTTTTGATCACAAGAAATGCCCGTCCAGTTTCTTGCCCTCAACAGAATTCGACTTTCTTTTTCACTAAGAATTGTTCTATCCCACTATGATTTAAGGTCCACTGCATAATTCCTTCGGCTTAATAAGAATTGATTGTCATTGCTTGAGAGACCGATCCCTTGCTTGTCTCCAATTCTCTTCACTACTCTTTGATCATCTTGGGCAGAAAAATATTTATTCATGGGATTCTACGATTGATAGTCATGTGGACAGCTTGGATTTGAAAATTTCCTCATCTAAATGTGAGTTGAGCGCGACGTGTTCGCTTCAAACTTACATTACTAAACTGCTCTAAGTCTTCGTCGGATTTTACCGTAGAGAAAAGGGCCGATCTGGGGGGGCTCATATTCCGTCGTCGAGATTTTCAGTAGCTACATAGCTAGGTCGCTTCTTGGGCTTCAGATGGATTAAATCTTGTAAAGAGCAATAAAATACTTTGAATGGGCCTTCGTTTTGCTAGCCATCCGATCGATAGTGTTGAGATTTATTCTTCGTTGCAATTTTGAGCGCAGCTATCAAAGGAAGCCGAAAATCTGACGCTGTCATACTTCGTACGCTGTTTCTTGGAGAATTCCTGTCTCTGCTAGAAGATGGACACGGCCACTAAATTCAATTCCGTTTCAGAGCTTAAAATAGTGAACTCGCAATGATCAAAAACTCTGGGTGCGTTCACTGCAGTCCTCCTCCGCCCGACGAGAGGCTCGAACTCTCAACCTTGGGCTTAAAAGGCCCACGCGCTAACCAATTGTGCCAGCCGGGCTTGTGCAAGGCTGATTTTATAGCCATTATGATTATAGGCAATTGGGCTCTGGCCTTGAATTCTAGGCCAATCAACACCACAATTCTGTCGCATTTCTGTCCAAACGTAAGGAATCATCCGACATAAGGGTTGACTTCTCAAGTTGCCTGCTTAGTAATCTGATTGTCTAAAATCAATTGAGAGCAATGATTCAAAATCAAACAAAGATAACAGCTATGTGGTTTATCACATTATTGACGTACGGGAATCATACAAAATATTTTAAAAAGAAATTAGTCGCTTGAAATCTCGTTGCCGCACTAAAGGCGAAGAGAAGCTGGCTTCAACAGGCTTGCATCTCAGAGATGGATTCTTGTTTGTGCAGAGATCTTGTCTTTACAACTAACATACTTCACACTCGCTGATTATTAACAACAGACCTATCCCAAAGGACGGCAAACATGCGGCCCTTCCGCATAATCACCTTATTATCTTTTAATGCGTACTCTCAAATTTCGCAATTGAATAAAGAAGTGATCAAATAGAGGTAAAAGTAGAAGTCATATCCTGGAGATTATGCTCTTGCAATGGCTCGGATCCCCAGGGATGATAACAACGCACAAGAACGACGAGGGCTAAAAGTTCAGGAAGTTTCGGAAGTGATGACGTTTGCAAGGGTCCGGTACGGGTCAGGCTAATTACCGTGAAGTGCAGATATACCTCGTTCCATCTCAGACTTTACCTATGTGTTGAATTATATCTGTAAGGATTCTTGAGAAATCCCTCAGGCAGGATTTATGGGTTCCTTATTTAATCCCACTAGTCTTTATTGCTTAGCGAGGGCACCTATGTAGTTTCCATTTCCGAGACTGATATCTTCACGCTTTGCTTTCTGTCTTTAGGAATAGTTACATTATTCTAATCACATCTCACTCTCGTCCTCTGCCAAACATAGCGACCTACTGTCACCTCCGGCCCCTCTATCTAGAACGACTCCCCGCTTTCCCTTTTACCACTTCTCTAGAAAGCCCTCCGCGTTACCACGAGGCGTCCTTCCTCAGTACATCCTACGCTACGCCCTCTCCTACGCCTCGAGTCCTGCGCCTAGTGAACCTGCGCCTGACACTGAATTATCCAGACATGCCTCCGTCATCCATCCTTCGCATTATCTTGTAAACTTGTCCTGATCCCTCTCACATCCATCCAAAAGAACAGTCTCCCAGATTTGTGCGCAACGCTTCGTGTCCTCCGTCGCGTGTAAATATCGGCGTGGGCGTGTTTTTGGTGACCGGCTGAGGCCAGAGAAAGTCGAAAAGAGGTGTGGTCATTGGAATGAGGATGTAGTAGGTCGTACTTGTAGACTTGATGAGACTCAGGTAGGAGTCGAACTCGTTGGGAGTGAAAAATTGACGTGGTGGAGTAGTTTGAATCATTGTCTCGTGGGCTAACTTGTTCGGTATTGCGAAATTTGACTGAACTTGGTTCTGGGAGAATATTTCACTCCCAGGTTCGTAGAGGAGTATCACCCGTCTAAATGAATCATATTCTAAGAGTTACAATAATTACGACGATATGTTGATCACTACTCGCTTAACATGCCCTGATTATCTTGGACAGCCAAGAAGAATCGCATCTATGTGGAAGGTAAGCCCAAGCTTGTTGAGAAACGACGACAACTCATCAATGTTGACCTAAAACTCCTCATGCGACTCATTTAAAGTGATCTTACTATTTATGACTTCGTTTCAATGAACTATCAAGGAGCTGCTCTAATTGCGAAAGGGAGCTTGCCTCTACAAAATTACGATGCTGTATTTATCCGCAAGTAGAAAATCGAGTCGTAATACGCGAGGCTCGGGCCTTGCCAGATGGGAGGTCTGTAGCTCCAATGGAACTTTACGATTTAAGGAAGGGGAGCCAGCTAGGACACGGGACGATAGAGAGAATGGGTCAATGATAGGCATGCTGGCACTCAAAGTCTTCGAGGATTTTCGAATTTGGAGTGCTTGTGGGCGCACAGATCAAGATTTCCGAAAGTGCAAATGACACCTCAAATGTAGAACGTGCCTGGCGGCCTCTATGGATGGAGGTGTGGGAAAATTGCTCTGGTCAAGTCGGCACTGGTTCGTACAAGTCAAGATATTGCCGTAGAAATTGATATTTGGTAGAAAGTATCATGGAGGGAGTCAAGTTAGGCGCAGGGCACCAGACCTAAAAATTATATCTTTTTCATCTCATTTCCTAGTTAATATTGGATTGGTCATTTTAGTAGCGTTGAGTCTCTCGAGACCAACTGCCAGTATCACAGCAAATAAGATGCAGCGTTTGTGCCTGGCATGTTAAAATAATCAATCTTCAATTTAAAAGTCATCAATATTTATTTATGACAAAAGTTTGCCTTCAATGTCCAACAGACCTAAAGGCGTGCGGGACATAACTTGAGGTAGTAGTTAGTTTCCAACGTCTTAGGCGTGGCAGTTGCAATTTGGCACAATTTAATTTTCGCTTCAACCCAACACCTACGTTGAGTTATTTCTAGCTTTGTCACGAGTAGTTTTGACATATCTTAGTTGATCATTGTCTTTTGATATTTGTATCTGTCGCCGACATGGAGGACATGCTAGAATCTCGGTTTAAACGAGTTGATATAGCTTTGGCTAACCTTGCTGATTCCACAGCAAAATATAATCCAAACCCAGTCTATGCGAATGATCTCGTAACAGCGGATGCGGAACTCTGTCTTGGCCTGGAACAACGTCAGTATTCCTGCTATTTTTCCATCAATACTGACTGACGAGCTCCAAAGTCGCAGCTCATCAATCAAACTACTCCCGAATACTTGCACTTCGTGCGACTTCGAGTGCCTTGGATAATCAAATTCGCGAAACTCTGGATGTTTTGACATCGATCAGGAGGGATCTAATATCCACACCTTCTACCAATCTTTTACCTAATGCTAACCCCGTTTCATATACTACCCTTCTAGCTTATGCTCGAAGGATTAGCAAATTCACGTTACCTCCGAGCTACAGAGACCATATTCCATCCAACGAGGCCGAAGAACCAGATACTAAAGCATCCAAAGAAGCCCAAAAATCAAATCCAATTAATGGCAGTTCTACCTCAAAGACTGGTTGCAATGGGATCGATACCGGTACAACACTTGGTAATTCCAACACAGCTCTACCGATTGTTGAAGGGGAACCAACTTCGCGATCTACTATAGCAACCAATAACAACAACTGGTCAGAATATTTGAATCCACACAGCAACATGTCTTGGACCCCTTGGCCGTCCGATGAAACTATAAGAAGAGGAGCACTTGCCAGCATCCAGATATTGCTCGATCAGGGAATCAACCCTGCCACATTCGACCCCGAAAAAAGCGCAGAGCTCGAAATGGAACGAAAGAGAATTGTTGAAGAAGAAGACAGACTACGACTGGAAAAAGAGCGAAAACAACTTCTGGAGAATCCAGCGAGCGCTATGCCTCCCGCGATGACTGCTGCCACCAATATCGTACCTGAACGGAGAAATACTCAGCCAAAAGTATTTCAGCTGGAAACCTTTGACGATGAAGATGATGACGATGATGACGAAGATGATGACTAGTGCATATAAGGATGCAGCAGGATGATCAGATTTAAAGCTTACAGCATAACACCCATCACCATAGATAGTACTTTGCAACCAAACCTTGGCGCATTTATTTATCGGGCCATAATTATCACCAATACCACTTTATCTTTACTTACACACATGGAATAGGAGCGAATGAATATAATGCTCACATCACCCTACCAGAGACTCATTTTAGCAGTGTGTTATCTAGGACAACGCGTCTTAAATATATGGGGTATGTATTTTCACCTCAGCAGTGAAACCCAAACCTCCTTATGGAATTTTTAAAGTCCTGGGGGCTGGTAACCAGTCACTCAATATAGACAGGGCTTATTCACAAATAATGCTCTCCCAGGTCTATGAGAACTCTAGTCTAAAAGTGAACCTTGGCTGATATATTTTATTAAATTATTTATCTAGCACAGAAAAACTATGTTTCTATTTATTTCAACCACGTTATGAACCAAGATGCAATGAGAAATAAGATATCACCCCTAGGGCTTCATTATTGGCCTTAAGGTACAATGTTGAACGTAACTCAGTGAGCTAAACATTAAGATATAAACATACTGAGATAGATATTTTAATCATAAGCTTGTTACAGTAGTAATTGTAATTATAAAATAACGTTAAATACAATCATTCTCTTCCTAAACCAATCTCAACACATACAATACTCGCATTCACTTGGCCCACAACTGTCATAAAATAACACCGTCCTTGCTTTATCAGACCTTGTCTTCTCACTGGAAGCCGAATATATCGATAAGATTTCAGGCCTGAAACAATAATTCTCTGGCCTTTTGACAGCGCTGTGTTTAGTGTGCTGCCGCAATCTCTTAAATATTTTGATAGCAATCCATCGTAAGCCCAGTTGGCGATTGTATGTAATAGACCCTAGAAGTAAGCATTGGCTCCGCCGAGATCAAGTCAGAGGATATATGCAATTTTATGCTGATAACCACAAATGCTTTAATGAGGCTGACTGGTTGTAGTTTTGTCTGCACTCTCGCACTCAAAGTCATTGAGCGTAGATATTACTGTGAAAAAGTCCTCCCCAACGGTCGTAATCTCGCATTTTCCAGGATTAGATCTATCCATTGCATCATTTTGTCCGTTTATCCTTAACTCTCTCACGTCCATCCCATAAAACTATCTCCCAGGTTTGTAGGCTAAGATTTGTTTCCTCCTGTGGGTATTTACATTCTCGTGAGCGTGTATATGGAGGCCATTCGACACCAGAAACTGAGTTGACAAGTTGTGCGGTCGTCAGAGCGAGGATGTACTTGCAGACCTATCGAGGCTTTGATGGTAACCAATCTTTTTTCGGGGTAAAAGTCGATGTGTTAGGGGAGGCATGAATCATTACCTCGTGGGCCAACTTCCTTGGTATTGCCAAATCTGACTGGACTTAGATCAGGGACAAATTTTCACCCTCTCAATGGTAGGGGATATCGCAGAGGATGTTCAGTCTATTTCCTCCTGAGTGCAGAGTCTTGGGGCCTGCATAGATCAATTTTGAGAGCATACCTCAGTCGCTAGCGCCGTTAAGGGCGTAAAGAAGTACAACTCGAATACATTTAAGAAGACGAGAAGGTGACAACAATATTGTCTTTGAAATTAGCCAAAGCAGCATGCTCATGCAAGTCACTGCCCTATCATTACGATGTCCAATCTACCCAGAACTTCTGAACCCGGCGAAAACCAGATCGTCGACAATAACCCGATGGCTGCTAATTTGTCCTACTTAAAGAGGTCAGAAAGGAAATCAATCTGTCAAAAAGTCCCCCACAATTGCTATCCTAATCCTAAGAAAACCCTGCTTTCAGTGATTCATGGCGAAGTTATGAAATCAATCTCTCAATTTAAACTGTCAACTTTTCATAAGATCGTTTTAAATCAAGAGACAACTGCCTAATGCTGTATAGTTCATATTCTTGAAAATAGACACACAGATAGATTCTGGGAGTTCGAGTAATTATATATCATTAACAGGGTTTATGTACATTTGAATAACATTATTAACGCCTCGCCAAACTTGACGCAGATACATAAAATTCGTGAGAAAACATATGTTTTATACACCCAAGCACGCCACAAATCCTTAATCAATTTTTATTGAGCCATAGATTTTTTGAACGAAAGCCCAGCTGGCAAAGTAGCCGATTGTACCTAGATGATTAGTAAGCCTCTAGAAGTTCAAAGGAATCTAAGCTTACCAGTTAAGATAAAGAATAAAAACGATATGAGAGCGCTGTATCCGATGTATAGTACGCTTCCTGCAAGTTCTACTTGTTGTAACTTTGTTACCCAATAAATTAGTGCGTTAGCAAATACATATGCAGCCGAAGCACCAGCTGTTATAAATGATCTCCAATGCCAATGGTAATTTTCGCCACATAGGAGGAAATAAACCATCAATACGGTTACAGCAGCACATGTAACAACCATTAAACTGTAACAAATGAAGAGAAAGCCAAACATGTAGTAGACCTTACTGAACCAAATGGATGACATGATGAAGTACAGCTCGACAAAAATCGCACCAAATGGCAAGATACCAACCAAAAGCATAGAAGGCACTAGTTTAAGGTACGCTGAGCTGGGCGGAATCTGCCGCGGAATTTGGTTGATTCGGACAGGAGATGCGATTAGTGGCTGGCGAAATCCGAGCCAGCTTCCTGCAAAAGAAAGCGGTACAGAGATGAGAAACCATATTCCGACAATAAATAGCATGGTTGTAAATGGTACAGCTCCGGAAGATTGCTTTGCCCAGAGAAAGAGATTTAGCATAAAAAATGTGCTGAAAACGATTCCTGGTACAAGTAAAGGTGTGAGCCCAATATTGAGTTTCCAACGATCTCCTCCTAAAGACTTGTAAACTCTTGCAGATACATAGCCTCCAATCAGTCCGAGAACAGTGTACAGTAGAACCATAATTGTTCCCAAAGAGCCACGGTTAGAAGGGGAAAGGAAGCCGAGTAAGGCAAAAGCAATGGTGAGCGCAGTCATTACAAACAGCTGAGCACCATTACCGAGAAAAACGCTGAGAAGGAGAGGGGATGTCGGGGTGCGGAAAACATCGCCATGAACTAGCTTCCAGCCGGAATCTTCCTGGATTCCATCGTCCATTACAGAAGTTCCTGATAGGTCATCCAAGCTTATGGAATCTAGACGGTTGTATCTAGCAATATCTTTTTTCAAAGCTCTTAGCAGAACTGATAGAACAGTTATGACCAAGAACACTACAATAATTGTTGAGTTGATCAGAGAGAACCAATGGATTTTTGGATCAAAAACATGTAAATACTTATCCCATCGAGTAGCCCAGGCGGTTGAGGAAGGGAGCCAGTAAACGCTGTAGGTGAAGCTGACCTCAGTTTGATCATTTTCATTTAAAACCAGCTTTGGAGAGCCGAGTCCACACTGGCCTAACGGTTGATCTGCTCCGCCATTATTATTCTGTGATTTCCTTGAATCTGGCTGAACTATGACACCAACCACTCTGTATAATCCAGGAGATGTTTCATGGTAATCTATTAGAATATCATAATGGTTATTAAGGTGCATATCTGTCTGATCGGCACTACCCAAGGCAAAACCTTGGCTGTAGAACTTTGTATTCGTGACTTCATCTTCAATGAGTTGTCCAGCGGGTAATCCATCCACTAACCAGTTCATAGCAAATCCTTGAGCTATCCTTCGATTCACAAAGTGTGCTGAGCTTGAATCAAATGATTGTCCTGAGCAAAGCGTTTTACAGGTTTCATTATGCGCCATTTTGAGTTCAAATGGTGAAGTCATTATTCGATCCCCAAATAAAATGCTGCCTAGACTTTCTGATACATATTCAGGTTCTGGTTTTGGTCTGCAGAAGTGAAATGAAGGATGGTAGTAATCAAATGATACAACTGACTTTAGGGTTCCATCCACTCCTGATGTGATAGGCGTTAGACGGTTGACATGAACGGGCACCTTATCATCATATTTATAGGATGTTGGGGCGACTCCGGGCAAATAAAAGGCTGTGGATAGATAAGGTGTTATCAAGCAGGCGGCAAAGAGCGCCGTAGAAGATATGAACTTCCTTTGTCGCATCCTGAAGTTTCTAAAAAGCGCGTAGGTTAGAATTGTTCAAGAAAGAGTCTCGAGAGAGAAGCATACATTTTCTGCAAAAATTCAGCTGAATGGAGTGAAGATGAGATGTTTAACTATGGGTTGCATTGACTGATAACTTAGTGATCCATGGATTTGGTAGGTGTTTACTACTGTTGCACAACCTTACACATCACCTTGCCAGGTATCTTTTTTGGATAAGCTTTTGTTTTGTTAAATGTGTCTCCGGGCAATAAGGCTGTATCGGAATAATAATTTGCCGAAGCAAATTGATGAAAGTTTTGATGCATGCAAGCGTAATGTAGCATAACAATTAACAATGGCAGTACCTTCCTCATTCCCAGCCTTGCTTGAACATCTGGCAAATACTTTAAACTCTATATCAGAACATTCTGATCTTTCCCAAACTCTAGCCGCTCCCAAGGATGGAATATCCCTTCTTGATGCCAAGAATGAACTTTTCCTCTCATATTTACAGAATCTAGTTTTTCTCATAACTCTCAAGATACGAAATAGCTGCAAAGATACGGACGATGTCTCCGACAGTCTGGAAAATTCAGTCGTTAAAAAATTAGTTGAATTACAATTATATATCGAGAAGGGAGTGCGGCCTCTAGAGAACCGATTGAAATATCAAATCGAAAAAGTTATCCGAGCTCACGATGATTCAAAACAGATTGAAGATCTCAAGCATAGCAAGACACACGGGAAGCCCACCCAAAGCAGCAAACAAGAGCATTCTCAAATCGAAAGCGACGATGACTCTGAGGATAATGCTACTTCTATTGCACCAGTGATTCAAGACTTACAATACCGACCTAACCCCACTGCATTGATTCCAAAGTCCTCTACATTTGTAGAGAAATCAGAAGGTGGTGTCTACAAACCCCCCAGAATCCAGGCGACATCTATGCCTACAACAACACGTCGTGAAAAAGAAAACAAAAAGCCCATGAAATCTGCAACGATTGATGAATTTATCAACAACGAAATGGGGACAGCACCAATATCTATGCCAAGTGTCGGATCAACTATCTTAGGAGGCGGAAGGACCATGAATAATGACAAGCAGAGGAATGAAGAAAAAGAGAGGAGGGAATATGAAGAACGAAACTATGTCCGCCTTCCCAAAGAAAGTAAAAAAGAGCGCGCGAAGAAAGGCGGTAAAAGAGAAGCTGGATATGGCGGTGAGGAATGGAGGGGATTAGAGGATGGAATTGATCGAATTGAAAGTTTGACTAAAAAGAAATCTGGAGATCGGATGTCTATTCTAGAAAAAAGTCGTAAAAGATCTAAAACTAACGAAGACACAAAAGTTCATGCTGATATTGGAGAGCATTATCGGAAGAAGTTAAAGACACTTGATAGTGGCAGAAGAGATAGAGGACGTAAATGATTCAACTTCAACAAATATCTTCATCTTTCTCCTCAAAAATAAGCACCTTTCCTGAGTGATCCTGAGATTTTCTTTGAAAGTAGAAGTATATTGCCCCACTTTTGCAAGGTAGCACCTTTTTACTTAGACATTTTTATTATGGAAAATTATACAGTTATCCTCTGCCACTTCTCCGTTACTGCATCCTTTTCAGATCTGACCAAAAGTCAAGGTCCCACATCTTGACTTTCATTTCTAGGCAATTAAGGCCATCTAAACTTAGCACCAATCTGGGGTAGCCTCATTATCAACTCCTTCTCCCTTCTATATACCTTTGCACAAAATAAAATTTTTGCAATATCTTAACCCCCTAACACCCAATTAAATCTTCCGAGTTTTTTGTTACAAATTACTTGCGGCATCCGTCATCAAATATTTTAGAATATCAACCTTAATAATATTGCACGTAAACAACTATTCGGTTTTGCTCTACTTCTTTGATGAATTCTAAACTATTTCTTGCACTTTTCTATTAGTTATCTCCTGCCACCTTTAATGTTATTCCTAAAATTTTGTATCACAAGTATCGTAACTCACTCCATCAGACGGCAATTGGTATTTGATTTGATTTCATTATCTTGAATCTACACCCTAAAGGCCCATCAAAGTGTCTATAAACTTGAAGATTTATCTGGAAGGAATTTCTCTGTCACAGCCTCCCAAACCTTTTTAATTTGTGTTTTTGATTTTCTAAGTTTTCCTCCAGGACGCGTAGTTACGCTATAGTACCATCTGTGTGAGTCAACAAAATCTTTTCTATCAAACATAAAGCTTACTCTCCGTGTCTCTTCCCTTAGCAGCACTTCGAATCCCTGTGCCATCTTAAATTTTTCTATTATTGTAATGTTAACCCAACTACTTAGTTCGTGGTCTCATTGGTAGAGGGAAGCTTGTGCAATAATGAAGAATAAAAGGATGTCTGTTCGACAAATCCTCTAAACACAAGTACCAGACTCCCTTTAATCCCTATGGACAGCCCGTGCGAGATCTCCCATTAACAGCAGTAAACAACGCTAGCATAGGGTATACGCAATCTCCGTTCGCCAAACACCAGTTGGTCGGGACTACTAATTATCGAGTCTAGTAGTATCGACAACGTGTATCCCAACACAGAAATAATATGAAACTTAACAACCAAACCCGCCATCATTAACTGCCGTTAACCATTACCTGACTTATCTCTGTACTCCATAATTTCAACATCTATCCAATTTGATTTTTGATTTATGATGTAATATGTTATTGCTTTGATATCGTAAGAATTTTTTATCATTGGTCTGAAGTATAGACCTTCACGCACGGAAATTGACTACACTATGTCCTTGGTACTCACACAGAATAATTCTCCGTAGATAGCTTAAGTAAAAACTAAGTATCAAGTAACTTGCCATCATTCTTCTGCTAGTAGATTCAGCCTGTCCCAATCCATGACAGAGCTTTATTTGAAAATTATATGCAAGTGTGGAATTTTAGTGATTGGAAGTTGTAGTTTCTTGGAAACTTCACTAATCTTGGTAAAGGGTTATTACTCTACTCAGATTTGTACCCGATTCCACCACCTTGTGATTAGTTAGATTCCTACTGTAGTAAAAAATTTGGTTGAGGTTCAATTTTTAATTATAATTATGACCTTATGTTCTATGGTGTGTGAATATCGGATAGGCTTTGTCTTGGTATCTGATCAGATAACAATGTACGTTGGGATAAAGATATTCTTGTTCTTGTCTAATCTTTGACAGTGATACATCTATGATGAAATTACACGAAGCTGACTATTCAGTCTTGTACCCTTAAATCGTGCCAATATCTCATCACAATATTACCTCCACTAGAAATAATAAATCTACCAAGTAGTTGACGGATAACTTATCTAATAAAAAACAACAGTGAAAGCCCTATGTAGATGCATGTCAACGATGATTGTTCCTTAAGAAGCGTGTCTTCCGTACTTCATTCATTATTTCCGACCAGCAGGCTAACCTCTGACAGGTTCTCGCTGGAACAGACGCTCGGAGGTGCCCTGATCCCTGCATAATAACTTTTCGCGTACACAAATCTAGAAGACCGTTGACCACGTAATGTGAGCCCATTACGTTGCTGCTGAGAATTGGGGATAACTATTGTACGATATCAGACAAAATGTTTCAGGATCTCGTCATAGCTTCCAACAAGGATTTGTTTTCTTTAAGTCACTTGATGTATATGCCGCTGTATAGCTGTGATACATAACCGGCGCTATGTATACATGTTGGATGACTATTTTGACGTTAGAACCGGCAAAGACGAATTCTACACCCTCCAGTGGTGCCAGTGTAATCGCTCAGTGTGCTCTGAATGTCTGGGATAGCCAAGAAGAATCACATCCGAATCAAAGTCGAAAGCAACTACAAGCATATCTAAAATCAACGACTTATCGCCAATTTCTAACCCATCTTTCCTATGCGAGTCCTCTAACTTACTCACACCACAAACCCACTTGCCTTAGTTTTCGATGATGGCGTTGCTCCAATTGCAATCGGGCATTTTCTTCACAACAAATCGGCCGTTTCCCACTACAAAGTTACGATGCCATGTATACCCGCGAGGAGGAAATTAAGTCATAATCTACAAAGTTTGGGTCTTGGCCTTTGGGGGGCTGTTGCTCTAATGCGGCTTCACATCTTGAGGGAAGACGGCAGCTGTAACGTGGGATAAAAGAGTGAAGAGGTCACAAACGAGCATGCTGGGATGCACATTTTTTGAGTCTTTTCGACTTAAAAATGTCTGTGAACGCGGAGGCAACGATCTCGGATAGTACAACCGACACTCTAAAAACAGGCAACGATGTAAGGTGTTTTAGTCCGCCTCTTGGTCGTCATCTCCTCGAATTAAAGTCTGGGTCGCCTGAACACCTACCTCACTCGAGAAAGGGAGGACTGTGAGGCCATATCTCGCGCGACGACTATATACGAGATGGCAAAGGCATGTTAGGGTAGCCAAAGGTTTTTCCTGTTTTCTCTTTGGTGGATATTAACGATTGAGGGAAGGGTAAAATTCCCTAGCACAAGGTCTCGAGTGGTATCAGCGAATGCACCCACTACATGAGTAGTTCAAATGTCAAACTGAGTTATCGTCGTATATAGTCACAGGGAAAGGGCTCGCTTTCTCCGTGTCATGCTCTACGAGTACTATGCTTGTGACCGTCACGAATAAATATTCATTATTTTGGCATTAGAGACAATCATACTATGGGTTTTATTTGCAAATACCACTGTGAGGTAGGTTCGCCTAGACAAACAGTCGATCATCCTCCGTTAGTACCCACCAAAGGGAAATTCAACCCCGATTAAAATATACGCACTCTGATCACATAAATCACTTGATAAGAGACACTGCACAGCAAATGTAAGGCGTAGATGAATCAGGATTGAATTGATGTCCCACAGTAGTGATATGAGTTGGGTCTTACAGAAGTCCCCATCTACCAAAGTGTGTTCCAATTATCTACTCCATTCTAAACGTGTCTCATTCCCTCGTATAACTGAGAAGTACTCTGTTAATGACTTGTGTCATCAAAGAATGACTAATCCTTCACTAGACAGATTGTCTCTATGACTTGTCGCTTATATTACTCGGTGAATAACAACTGACACGTCTATTGTCCAGGCAGTGCACGGCTCGTAACTGAGCGAGTCGTGTAATCCGATGCTGGAGGTTCCACGTTCTATCTACTAGGACATGATATGTTTCTCTAGCAAAACCTTTGATTATCTAAGCATGCCTTCGCCGTCCATGTATACTAGTGCCGCGAGAAAATTGGTTTTGTTCCGCCGGGTTTGAACCAGCAATCTACTGTCTCGAGTTGGGAATGTATCCAAGCTGTCCAGACACTACTTTGCAGACCGGTCAAGACGATGCACCACCGCACCATCTAGCCATGACGGTGTTTATAGTGTCGCCTGCACTCTCGCTAACGAAGACTTGGCGCGCACAAAGCTCAATTTGTAATAACTCCTTGCCAAAATTCGAAATTTCACGCCCGTCGAGACTGTATCCATCCTTCGCATCGTCTTACGAACTTGTCCTGTCTTCTCCCACATCCATTCCAAAGAACTGTCTCCCACATTTGTGCGCGACGCTTTGCTTCCTCCTGCGTGTATTAATATCGGCGTGGGCGTGTATTTGGTGACCGGCTGAGGCCAGAGAAGGTCGAAGAGAGGTGTGATCATAGGGATGAGGATGTAATTGGTCGTGCTTGTAGACTTGATGAGACTTAGGTGGAAGTCAAACTCGTTGGGAGCGAAATAACGACGTGGTGGAGTAATTTTAAAATTTGCCTCGTGGGCCAACTTCTTTGATATTGCGAAATGTGATTGAACTTGGCTCTGGGAGAATATTTCACTCCCAGGTTCGTAGAGGACACCGCGTATAGGTGTTCAGTCTTGCCCTCCTCATAGCGACTTTTAAGGACAAGAAATTCCTCGCTCGGTTCCAAATATCTCTACTGCGCTCGGCTAGCAAAAACCCCTGAACGCCTGAGAAGGATGGCTTTGTCTTCTAACTTAGGAATGCTATCGGTATCAAGAGAGTAATTTATCATTGACTTTTATGAGTTTTATCGACTGCTTCACATTCGAAAATAGCCTTTGTTTCGTTGGTAAGAGAGGAAAGATATCATTTAACGACATTATACTGTTTGCATTTTCTTCTTGAGTCTGCCAAGATCTAGGTCATAAACACTTACTTTCTTTTATTTTATTTACACATCCCCTAATACTAGTTTATCAGGCGTAACTTACTGCAAAAATAGCAAGAGAAGCGCGTTCCCAGACCTAGAACGTATGGTAGACATTATCACCATTTGAGCTAGAAGTCAGAAGAATAATAATGTATATAGACTTACTTAACTACAAGTCTCACCGTAGGAGGGTCAGACTGAACACCTGTACGCGGTGTCCTCTACGAACCTGGGAGTGAAATATTCTCCCAGAGCCAAGTTCAATCACATTTCGCAATATCAAAGAAGTTGGCCCACGAGGCAAATTTTAAAATTACTCCACCACGTCGTTATTTCGCTCCCAACGAGTTTGACTTCCACCTAAGTCTCATCAAGTCTACAAGCACGACCAATTACATCCTCATCCCTATGATCACACCTCTCTTCGACCTTCTCTGGCCTCAGCCGGTCACCGAATACATGCCCACGCCGATATTTACACCCGACGGAGGAAGCAAAGCGTGGCTCAAAAATCTGGGAGACTGTTCTTTGAGATGGATGTGGGAGGAAACAGGACAAGTTTACAAGATGATGCGAAGGATGGATGACGGAGGCATGTCTGGATAATTCAGGGTTTATGAGACGTTCCCCTGGGTGGGTATTCACGGATGAGGGTTGACTTGGGGTGAAGAAAAAGCCATCATAACTTCGCAGTGGTACTTGCAAATGAAATCCGAGGCATGAGTGCTCTTCCTTTACGTTGAATCATCTATTCTGTACTTTTCTTTGATATTGTGTCATAGCTAGATAGCTGCATACGCAATTAAAATCTGATGAAAAAATGAAAAAGCCTCCATGAAGCATCAATTCTGATTACTTATTTACAGACGCAAAAGTGGTGCTTAAGTGCGGGAAAGTTCTCGCTTGAGAGTTTGTGGTTTAAAGCAGGCTGATTTAAGTTATGTTTGTCGTAGACTTGTCGACAGTAGTAGGTTCCTGGCTGACGTGGTTCTCATTCCGGATTCCGCAGACTCACGGGAGAGAACTGAAGGATTTTAGATAGATTTTAGGTCAGCGATGCGAACGAGCTATCGCCTCATCTCCATTACACCTCATTTTCGGAGTGTGTGTGACTAAAATTCCTTCACTCAACTACGCTTCTGTAGTCGCCTGGAGCAAATAGGCTGATAAAATTCAATCTGAAAAGCTGATTATTTCTCAATTAATTTGTTTGCAGATTCCCTTAAATCTCCTTTACCCCAAAACATACCAATCCTTCGATCGTAGCTGAAGTCTATTTATCCAACCCATTGGGCCTGCCTTCATTCTCGTTTTCCATGATCAGTGTCTGTCATGCTATGTAATAGACAATGCTTTGAAAGTAGCCATGAAAACTACAGTTGCGTACCATTATCCCAACTAAATCTTGTTTCCACCGCAGCCGATTCCAAGCTGAGACACAATCGCCACCATATGATGCCATGTCAAGATTTATAGGACTGTTGGGTCTAAGACTTTATTAAGACAACAGAATTAACGCCGTGCCCAAATACGCTAATATTATGATGCGGTTTTCTCCTTGGCTACATTAGTGCGGATTACCTGCAGAGATGCTGCTAATCCTAGTCCATTCCCGGGCTATTACCCGGTCGATCCCACACCTGTCATCGGGTGATCTTCTTCTTCTCCGTTGCAGTTCATCGGGAATAGATGACAAAGATATGATGAGCAACTGTACTATCAGAGGTCAACGTGACAACAAACGACATTTATTATCAGTTAAATGTATTGCCTCTGGCGAGATGAAAAATAACAGAGCATTCGGATGAGGATTATCTCAGTATTCTCTCGTCTCAGAATCAGCAGTTATAATCAATAACAGGATATCTCAATCTTATTGGATTTCCTCATTCCTTGTTGACAACGTCCGGTGCCCTATGTTTCTACATCTTGCCACATCCATAAAGTGACCGTCTAATTATTCCCCTAGTGTCATCTATTTTTAAATTTACAAATCCATGTTCTATCCGTTAGACCCAACGTTCCCTCGTATCGAATTCTGGGGTGCGACGAGATGCTGTCAGCATTACTAGCATTACTAGCAGCAGTAAAGCGTACATATGTCATGGCGAGGTGAGTTGTAACCTGCTTTCATGGCTTGAAGTAGAAAACATAACCTGGCCACTTATTTGGTCCTTAACAATATCGAAGGCTTAAGAGAACTACCCTAAGCCTCTCGACATGGCCGCTCAAACTTCACCCCCAGAAACTTCAGAGACAGATTCATTTCAAGCCTCCTGTGCCCTCACTTCGGATAGTATCGAAGCTTTTTCCTATCCAACAGTCTCTTTTCAAGTCCAAAAACCTGACAGAAGACAGTGTTTGGGGGCTAAGAATGTGCAGGCTCAACGAGCTAAACCATTTTCATACAAAATTGAAATGGATCAGGAATCGCAACGTTTATTAGAAGATAATACTTGTGAAGATCTTCAAACTTGTCTATCACCATCTGCAAATCCTCCCACATCTAAGCTTTTAGCATTGAAAATGAATGCACCGGATGATATCGAGGGAGGACAAAAGGAGGACACACGTAATCCTCAGGATTCAAACATGTTATCACAAAATTTGAGTTCTTTTTGCTTAACTCAAGCCCAACCTAGAAGTAAGTTGTTTTCAAGTATCAAGGAATCTAAGTTGTAGCCACCTTCACACAGTGTGTCTATCAGAGTCTTTATATTTTCAAATTTATGTCATGCAACCCTGGCTCCTAAATTTAACTCCTCAGCAGCTCTAGATCCTATGCCTTTATTCCAATTTACAACTTTTGATGAAAGCGACTATTACACAATTAATAATCCATCTTCAAGCAGTTACGTCGACAGTAATCATTCAGCTCCTAGCCTTCACGATAAAGATGAATCGCATAATTTCAAAATTTACCGACAAAATTCCATCAAGAAGCCGTCGGATATTCCACTCGGAGCACCCACAGCTAGTGAGGTCGAGTATGGACGTAAAGAATCGCTAAAACGTTCTACAAACTTGGCAGCAAACCCAGTCAGGAACGGCGAAAACTGTTCTCTAGATAGACAATACCAGTCTACTAGTCACGAATCTACCAAAAAAGAATCACAGTTAAGTCTTTCTGAAAATAATTCTGCTGTTAGGAAATTACCTGGAAAAAAGATTACTACATCACCAGCAACTTCGGAAACTACAGTTCCACTAATCCAGATGCAACCTACGAGCGGCATTCAAAAAAGAGAAAAAGAAATATATGGAATTAAGAAAATAAGATGGCATGATCATGATGCTACAAAGAATCCCAGAATCTCTCCTATATTGGTTCAGAATTCTAATGGCCCATGTCCACTGCTGGCTCTTGTAAACGCATTAATACTTTCAACACCACCGTCTAAAAATACTTACCTAACAGAGACGCTTAACTCTCGTGAAGACATAACCCTTGGGCTCCTTCTGGATGCACTTTTCGATGAGCTGATTTCCAGGCGTGGCTCTGGGAATGAACTACCCGATGTATCTGCCCTTTATTCTTTTCTCGTAACACTACACACAGGTATGAATGTTAATCCACACTTTTTCCCTGCTTCACTCTGCAGTACTATCAAACGCACCTTGAGCTCCAGGTCGGTTAAGCACTCTAGACCTGAGAGAATTGAGCTAGGGTTTTTCGAAGATACTTACGAGACACAACTCTATGGTACTTTTAACGTCCCTCTAATTCATGGATGGATTCCGCAGCCTGATTCGATGGCCTATGCAGCCCTCTATAGGCTCTCAAGAACATTTGAAGATGCTCAAAATCTTCTGTTCAGTGAGGAGATTCTTGAGACAAAGAGAATTCAAGGCACACTAACTTCCCATGAAGAATCTCTTTTAGAAGATATAGCGACCATCGGAACATTTATATCTTCAAATGCAACACAACTCACTTCCCATGGCCTAGATGTGATCAAAACCACTCTTACTCCTGGCACTACAGCTATACTTTTTAGGAATAACCACTTCTCTACGCTCTACAGACACCCCAAAAACTTACAATTACTACAATTGGTGACTGATATGGGTTATGCAAAACATGAAGGAGTTGTATGGGAATCTTTGGTTGACACAACCGGGGAGCTAGCTGAATTCTTCGATGGAGACTTTCGGCGAGTTATTGATACCCCAGCTTGGCCTCTTCCTAATTTGCCACTAAGTAATAATGATCGGATAAGTTGTAATACAAGTTCTTATCCATCAGACCATTCAAAAAGATCTTGTCGAGGGACTATGGAGCAACTAGACCATGATTATGCCTTAGCCCTCCTGCTTCAAGAAGAGGAGCAACAAAAGTCTGTTAAACCTCAAAGACAATGTCATGGAATTAAATCATCGCCGCAGCAATTCACTCTAACTCACACAAGTGATGGACAAGATAATTCTGGCGTGTCTAGACCTGAACCTCTACTTTCTCAGCAAATTAGGTGTGAATCTGGACCTGTTATACCACCTCGAAGAAGCAACTTGAATTTTACAAATCAGTTAGACTCAGAATCAGCTATGGCAGAGACAGAGGTAGGATTACCACCGCCATCTTATGAGGCTGCTACCAAGGAAGAATGTAATAACTCATCTCCTGAAGATGAAAACCCACAACTCAATCATAGCGTGCCTCAGTTATCGCACTCAGACACACTAGAGAGTGAAAGCAGAAGTAAGCGAGTTGGGGGAATGAGAAGAAGAAGTCGCCGCCATCAAAGTCAAGCTATAGATCAGATACTTGCAATAAGATCAGGAATGAGTGTCAGACGGCAGCCAAGTCTTGGTGGTGAAATGATAAATAAAGTAACTCATAGGCCGGAAAGGGTAGAGCGGGAATGTGCTATTATGTAGCAGTTACGGAGCTAAAAGGAAATTTCCAAGATGATACATGGACATTACATAGAGCCCTTCTACTGACCATTCGGACTTAGTCATCGAATGATGAAGAGAAGGCCTAGGCTAACGCAGCACAGCGTAGTCAAGTTCTATTGATGGCCTTATTGTTTTTATGTGTATGAATCCTCTTATGAGGCTATCTACTAATGATAGGGTTGAGAACGCACACAGAGCCAACAAACTGCGCAAATAGATTTGTATCTTTCTACTTCAAACCCTACCTGAAATTTCATCTCTAGCGAATTAGGGCCTATCAATGATCTAATGCATACATCGCAGTATTTTCTTCTCCCAACAACTCTCTGAAGATGTGAGCTCATCTACTCATCCGTCCAGCATAATTTGATAGGAGACAGTTAAAATTACGCACACTAGAGCACGCCTTCAATTGAAGGATACAAATCAAGTTCTTATGCCGCTACAGAAGTTGGCAAATTCATGATCCAGTTGTCAGACGTTCCGAAAGCTATATGAATTTAGGAGTTTTCAGAGGAGAAAATTGTGTTGTGATGACAAATTAACGGTATAAATTGGCCTGAAGCTTTTGCATGGCATACTGCGTTGAAAACGGTAATCTTGTAGTCTAATTTCTGGGTATTTAGGACTATGTTTGTAAAATTACGTGCTGGGCAAACGGCAACCTCCGCACCCCCTGGTGAGCTTGAGCACAGTTTGGGATGGATTAGATCAGGTTAATTGCTATGAAGTACATGAACCTCGTCCCACCTGAATAACCAGACCGCCTCAGACTTCGTCCATGTGCTGCATCATATCAAGTCCGACCATCTAGGGAGCCTGAGCCCTTGACAACTTCCGTTGCTTAAGTTTTCCCTCTCATTCAGTCCCAGACTCTCCTCGTACCAGCGTAAGCTCGAATTATGTAAGGTTCATTGTTTTCACTGGAGACTACATCCAATCCACCCACTGGCGTCTTCTCTACCTTCGTCTTTGGTCCGAAAGAGTACATCTCACATACTTCTCCGCCGATTTGTGTTTGTGTTTATTGTGTTACTTGAGTCTATGACTATCTAGCACATTGGGCTCCTCTCTGACCCAGGCCACACCTTGTACAGTGCTCCTATCCTCTTTTGTTTCTTAAAAGATCATTGATATATTCCCCTTGATGAATAGCCATTCAGCTCAGTATTTACCCGTGGAATTCAGCCACCTTTTCCACGGAACCTTCTACTCAAAAAAAAAAAATGGTAACAATGGAAACTGCGTGCGCGGGAAAAAATCTCAAAAAACCTGCAGCCCCAGCCAGGCGAGGCCTAGACACCAGGACCATGTGAGGTGCGCATATTCATCTATATCTCTATTCTTTGTGACAGTCGAGGCTGACTTGATCCAATCCACTATCTCCGTATGGGGTGCTGGGTAGGCTCCGGAAACCCATGGGATGGCTTCTCCTTCATGATCAAGGGTTGGTGATGAGTAGGGCTTCGACCCTACCATCTGATCTGATCATGATTAGCTTCATGATAATAGTGATAGTGGAATGTGTTGAGAGATGAAGACGATACAGACCGCGAAAGCCATTGGGAATCCTCTTCGAAGTGAGGACTTTGTTACTCAATCTCGGCTCTGCAGACTCTACAGTGAGAGCTGAAGGTTCGGAGGGGACACCACTGATAGGTGTTGAGAATAGTCCCCCTCTCCGCCGATTTATCCATATTGAAATCCCGAGAAATCCTAGCTCGCACCGTCGCTGCCGTACTCCGAACTATGGAGGCTGACAAGGCGTCGAAGCACTTAAGACCGAGGCATCGTTGTCCCGACCTTTGGGGAATGCCTAGACCAGCGTGTCGACGAATTGTCGCGCCTATTTTGTCGTCGACCAAGCTGATGGTGCTATTTGTCAAGATATAGGCGCATCTAAGGCGCATACTTCGACCCCAACTGTTGTAAATATCCTGAGCATGCCTTGGAGATGACTATTTACGATAGATACAAGGTCCATGATAGATGATTTGACAGTCGCGGCTAACCACCACGCATGATGAGTTTGAGGCAGAGTCAGATATGCTTGGGTGAAGCATCCGGGTCAGGGTGTCGCAGCCAAGGAGTGCTATATGTACTAATTATTGTCTCATAGTTGTGAAGCTAGGGTCTATTGATACGTAGGCAATAAGAGATGTAACTGAGTCAACTAGTCTCAGTTTACGATCAAGTAGCATTGTCATAGTTATGTGGAGTGAAGGCTAGCACAAGAGACTTGTATATGATATAGCAATATCTTCATATTTAGAAGTAAGCAATATCATCGGTTACTCGATGATATTTCAATACTTACCTCACAGCGTGTTTAAATGCCGAGGGTTACATATTATCTTATTGTTTTGGCGGTCGTTGTGACTATAGACTTCTCATCTTTCCTCGGTCAAATGATGAGCTAAACAGGTAGATCAAACTATCACGGGTCGTCAGTTGTTGGGACACGAGCATCAGATCACTAGAATCTATCTACAGTTCTTGATTACAATTCAGATGAATGGTTTCCCTGGGTGATTTCTTGTAGATTGTTCTCTCTCCCCAGTTGATGACTTAATAGAACGTGTAGACCCTCTCTACCTAGAAGCCAAGCATACCTGTTGGAATGGCAGATCCAATAAGATGCCTCTTATATAGCTCCCTTCCGACAGTGGCGTCCCTTGCAAGTCCTCATTCGATCATTTAGACTAGGTAGCCTTTTGCCGTACATTATCTCTCTTCTCCGGCCAACGTAGTAATGGCCGTTTGAGGTCATGTGTTAGCTGTTAAAAATCGTGAAAGCTACTGCTCGTGAGCCTCTCCTAATCACGACATCAGGACTGAATCCTACGAAAAAGTGATTCCTCTGAAGTGTTCAAAGAGGCCGTCTGCCAGGTACGGTACGGCAGACCTATGTATACCTGACAGAATCTCTCAAATTTCTCGCCCTCCTCCCTAAGCCTCCCCTGGTTCATACCGTGGGGCAAACCAAAAATCGTGAAAGCATGCTAGGAAAGCCTTGATGGAAATTAGTTGCCATGATATAGCCTAGCCTAGCATGATAGGGTGGTCTCCGTCATATGATTGTCGAGTAGCTAACACAGTTTGAAGTAAAAAATTTGAAGAGACAAAGTTGTCGGAGAATCGAAGCCTGCTTTTTTCAAGGGCAGTGAAGTTTCACTCCGCTTCATTGGGCCTTTATTTGCCAGCCTGTAGGTAGGATGTATTGTGATATGATGAGGCCTTCTTTAACTACCGTTGTAGTGTTTGGTACCGGAATGTATTTCCTCTATACCGTAATAATTATCGTCGTAGGAATTATTGAAAACTTACATTTGAGACAGTGGGAGAAAGTTGAACACAGTATTAATGATGTCCATTTGATTTTGCTCTGCAGATTTTAACCGGAGAGCTGGAGTATCATAGTGGGTACCCCTGTCAGGTATCGAAATTTTGTTTTCCTATAGCCTCTAGTACATACACTGGAGAACGCTATTCACTCCGCTTCCATGAGGCGGATTCCACGTGAGGTGAGGTCATCTATGGTTAAATCTACAAGATTATGTTTGCGGATTTAAAAAGGCTTTGGCCGGATTCTATCTTTTGTGGGTGAAATATTAAAGTTGCAGGGGGATATGAATTAACAAGTTTCAGTATCTGCGTTAGACTTAAAAACACACAGAATAGGTAAGTTTTACGGGATGAAGAGAGGGGCTAGGCTGGTCGTGCTCCAAATTCTTAAATAATTCTATCAATTTAACCTCGCAATGAATAGGAGCAGAAGCCAGATCAGTTACAAAAACTTTATTGAATTTAGTCTCCTATTGACAAAGGATCAATGAATCTTTTGTAAACTTGTATAATTTCAGACCGTAAATTTAGTTGAGTTTGGACCCTGACTGACACCTACACTTATTCCTGTTGCTAGAGATAGTATGAACCCGAAATAACATTTCCATAACTGGAGTTTTAAAGGGATACTAGTGTGGTTCTGAAACTTTGTCTCTCTGCAAGCCGACCCTACAGTCCGATGTTTATCATCATGGTAATTTAATCTTGGCAATAGCTCCTGCCATCATGCTACTGTTTCCTTATCCTTCTTGTCTCATACACCTTTAAAATTTCTTACTAGAGCCCAGATGGCCACAAGAACAAATTGCACCTATCGTGAATCTAAGACGCTTTTTTCTGTGTGGGTGCCCTACCAGCGCTCCTGATTACGTCAGTCGTATCATGAAATGTTTTTAGACCACTCTTGATGGTATCCCAGGCTTGTCGAGCAGTCACTGGCGTGGACTGAGCGCCGACTAGGCTATCTATACGTGCTTCTAGATTTCTGAATTGATCTTGAACAAAGCTGCTCTGCGCATAACGTGCACGTAGGAAAACCGTGTAAATGATAAGCAAAGCCCAGGAACCTTTGCTGAAAAAGATTGCAGATAGAAATATGCGACTCCAGAGCGCAATTTCAAGAGAGGCAACCAAACCCATGGAAGAATCGTAATATTCTTTAACAAAGCGGCCTATAGTATCAGCGGTTGCACTGGGTTTCGTGGCAGTTTTGGAAGACGATGTTCCGTCGACTTGAGAGGGCGTTTGAAAAATCGGAATCAAGTTAGTTCTAATGTATGTTGCAACATGGAAGACGGAATAAACGCCAAACGGTAGCATTGCCAATGGATATTGGCTCGACCAAAGCCACACAATTGCCATGGCGAGGGGATAGTTAGCACACTTGTTAACATCTTTCAGGGAGCCGGCCTACCGAGATATTGCACATTCTCATCAGCAGCTATGGCGATGGGGCTCGTAACTTGTTTTCCAGTAGCCCTGGCACGAGCACGAAAGGCCTTGTATACGACAATTCCATAGGTGGCTGCCGCAGAGACAAATGTGGCACGATAAGAAAATATGGCTATCCCGGAGTAATAGTTGAGTGTGATGTACGAATATGCGTATCTTATGATACTGAAGAGTAGTGTCAAGTGTCTAATATATTTCGATTATTAGTGAGATAATCATTCTATATTCACTTGAGTGAAACAAATCTTATTATTCTCGTTCTACCAATGTAGGATGAGGCATTTAATTTAAACAGTCTCGAAGGGAATCTCTGCGGCGCGCCAAAGGAGGATAATAAACTTACCCAAAGAACCAAGCGACTTCAAGAAAAGTTAGCCTACGACGGAGAAATATATACCTGTAAGGCAACTTACATTGTAAAGTCTGTGCAAGCTGCAGTAATCGCTGTTGAAGGGGGAGAGGAACTGAAGAGGGGGATGCCATCTTGATAAGTTTAAAAAAAAGCTGACAACCAATGAGTAGAATATTAGTAAAACACCGCGCAGTAAAATGTTCGGATTACGGAGGTTGATCTCGTCTGTAGGTAATCGAGTAAAACTTTCTAGAGAGTTGGATGTGTAGGGAATACTTGCTCTAACATGGACAAGATTGGGTTTTGGCAGGGAAGATCCTTGTCTCCAGGCAACGGTTTGTGGTGCATCTAGTCTGTTTTTTTCGCGGGTAGCCCTAACCACTGGCAAATGATGATGTGGACGTGGGCTGTTGTAGTGGGCCGATCATCGCGGGGGAAAATGGAATGTATGGATCTTGGTGCTCTTGGTTGCGTCACATATGCGTGGACCAGTAGTTTGGTTGTTTGATAATTGTGCAGCTTGGGTCATCTATTATCTAGCTAATTGAGTTCCGCTTAGATCATGATCATATCTCACATTGCTCTGAATTCTACTTTTATTACGAAAATATATCATAGTTTCAACTTTCATGATGTAAAGCTATTCAGCTCAGTAATTAACCGTAGAATTCAGCTACCTTTTTTATGAAACCTGCTTCCCAAAAAACTAATAACAGTAGCTATGGAAACTCCGTGAGCGGGAAAAAGTCTCTAAAAACTTTCGTCCCAGCCACACGAAGCGCGCATGTGGAGGGCAAGACTGAACACCTGTACGCGGTGTCCTCTACGAACCTGGGAGTGAAATATTCTCCCAGAGCCAAGTTCAGTCAAATTTCGCAATATCAAAGAAGTTGGCCCACGAGGCAAAAATCCATATTACTCCTCCACGTCGTTATTTCGCTCCCAACGAGTTTGACTCCTATCTTTGTCTCATCGAGTCTACAAGTACGACCAAGTACATACTCATTCCAATGACCACACCACTCTTCGACCTTCTCTGGCCTCAGCTGGTTACCAAATACACGCCCACGCCGATTTTTATACCCGACGGAGGAAGCAAAGCGTGGCGCACAAATCTGGGAGACAGTTCTTTGGGATGGACGTGAGAGGGATCAGGACAAGTTTATAAGATGATGCGGAGGTAGGATATAACCTCGAAGGGCGTGAGATTCCGAATTTTGGCAAGGAGTTTTTCGAATTGGGCTTTGTGCGCGCCAAGACTTCGCTTGCGAGAGTGCAGCTGACACTATAAAAACAAGCGGACGATGGAAGGTGTTGTGATCCGCCTCCTGGTGATGTTCTCTGGTATAGTTTGAGTAGCCTGAGCACCTACTCCACTTGGGAAGGAGACATCTCAGATTACATTTCGCGCGGAGAAAAGTTGATGGATGACGGAGGCATGTCTGGATAACTCAGGGTTTTTGAGATGTTCCCCTGGGTGGGTATTCACGGATGAGGGTTGACTTGGGGTGAAGAAAAAGCCGCCATAACTTCGCAGTGGTACTTGCAAATGAAATCTGAGGCATGAGTGCTCCTCTTGTAAATTGAGTCATCTTTTCTGTACTTTTCTTTGATATTGTGTCATAGCTAGATAGCTGCATACGCAATTAAAATCTGATGCAAAAAAAAAAAAAAGAAGCGCGCATGTCCGCTTACACCCATATTACAATTAATAAGAGACGCCCACTTGATCCAATCCAGCAGTCTCATATCGGGTGCTGTTCGTTCTTCAAAAATTCGTTGGATGACTTCTCCATAACCAGGAAAAGTGAGTAGATGGTAGGGCCTCGACCCTACCATCTGATCTGATCGTGGCTAGCTTCATGATAGCTATGATTGAGGAATGTGCAGAGAGATGAAGAATATACAGACCATGAGAGTGGTTAAGTATGACGCGATTCTTCCTGGCAATGTAAGTTATACAGAGTAATCTCAGTGTTTACACCGTAACCGCTAAGAGGTAAACGAATTGTCTTTCCAGATGAGACCGAACTTTTCGGCAGGAGAGCAGAGACTGAACATCCACCCGTGGTACCCTATAAGAACCTAGGAGAGAACTATTCTTCCAACGCCAAGTCCAGTCAGATTTAGCAATACTAAATGGTTGGCCCACGAGGTAATTATTCAAGCCTCCCTAACACATCGACTTTTATCCCTAAAAAAGTTCGATAACCTTCAACGCCTAGTTTAGTCTACAAGTACGAATAAGTAAGTTCTCGCTTTAAAGACTGCACCACTTGTCAAGTCAGTTTCTGGTATTGAATGGCCTTCAAGTACACGCTCAAGAGAATATGAATACCAACCAGAGGAAACAAATCTTATTCCAAAAGTCTGGGAGACAGGTTACGGGATGGAAGTAAGAGAATTTAGAATTAACGGTCAAGATGATACAATGTATGGATCCAGTCTTGATAGGGATGATGTTTTGATTTTTGGAAAATATTTTTTCACACAGAACATTGTGCGATATACAATTTCAAATGCGAGAATGCAGACGACAACCCAAATACCGCCATGATAAGATGGTGAGGCTGAACGTCATCTAGGCCAGTCTCCCTTGTCGAACCTTTTTTTTTTTTTTTTTTTTGCATCAGATTTTAATTGCGTATGCAGCTATCTAGCTATGACACAATATCAAAGAAAAGTACAGAAAAGATGACTCAATTTACAAGAGGAGCACTCATGCCTCGGATTTCATTTGCAAGTACCACTGCGAAGTTATGATGGCTTTTTCTTCACCCCAAGTCAACCCTCATCCGTGAATACCACCCAGGGGAACGTCTCATAAACCCTGAATTATCCAGACATGCCTCCGTCATCCATCCTTCGCATCATCTTTTGAACTTGTCCTGTTTCCTCCCACATCCATTCCAAAGAACTGTCTCCCAGATTTGTGCTCCACGCTTTGCTTCCTCCGTCGGGTATAAGTATCGGCGTGGGCGTGTATTTGGTGACCGGCTGAGGCCAGAGAAAGTTGACGAGAGGTGTGGTCATTGAAACGAGGATGTACTAGGTCGTACTTGTAGACTTGATGAAGCTTAGTTGAGAATCGGACTCTTTGGGAGTGAAAGATTGACATGGTGGAGTAATCCGAATTTTTGCCTCGTGGGCCAACTTCTTTGATATTGCGAAATTTGACTGAACTTGGCTCTGGGAGAATATTTCACTCCCAGGTTCGTAGAGGACACCGCGTACAGGTGTTCAGTCTTGCCCTCCCCTTGTCGAACCTGGATAGCTTGGACGAATATGCCACGGAATGAGGTCTTGATCCAACGGATCGAACGAAATAAACGGGGTTTATTCTGATTTCCTAAATTGATGATAACACAAGAATAACAACAATGCGGAATAAGAGTAGCTGTAAGAGAGAGGTATTTTACAGGGGTGCGACTAAGCGCGCCCTGAGACTAGCATTACACCTGGACCGCCTACAGTGAACGGAAGAAGTTGGTGCATTAGGTCCCGTAACAGACTATCCCACTTGAGATAGGAGATTACCAGCTCCGATCAAGGAACCCTTCGCAATATTTCTCCCGGTGCTTTATTTTATTTTTTATTTTTTTATTCATAGTGTATTCAGCTATCTGTTACGGGGCGAGAGAGTATACAAGATAGAAGTCACGGGACAAGATGTACACAAGATAGGATGCAGACAAGATGTGGAAATCTATCAAAAAGACGCCCGCTCCTTATAGTCGTGAACGAGGACTACTTAATGGTCTCCTCGGACTAGCTCGACGCTAGTGTCAATAATAACACCAGTCCTCTCTATTCCTGTACATTTGTGTTACTATGACAACTAGATTCCCCACCGCTGCTTAGGCATGATTTCACCCTTTTATGGAGAGTCATGATATGAACCATGACACTATCTATCTATTGTGACGGTCTTAAAGTGGCGTTTTTTTCAAACTGAACTCAGAGCTAGATACAAATGAAAATCTTAAAGTCACGAGCAGAGACATGACTGAAAGCCTCCTATTTATTTAAAAGACTATGATCTCGTTTCCTCATTTCATACCATTCTCAAAATAGATCATGACCTGTCCTCCGACAAACACCAGCATCTCCGTCTATTTTAATTCAGCTTCATTTTAATGTAAGTAATTTTAGTTATTAAAATAGTTATGATGCATGTGGCTTAGATGACTCACGACTGGTGTTCGAGTCGTCCTGTCTGCAATCTAAATTTGTCATTTAAGAATAGATTTGCATGGACTGGGCCGAGGCCTATACTTGGGTCTAATGAGTCGTGGAGGGGTTCATGACATGTATGATGTTTAATATGGTTGGAAGAGTTGGAAGAGTTCAAGCCTTATTTGTTAGGCAGCAGCCTAGTGATAACCAGGTATAAGTCTGTGACATCTGACACATTATTTACATGATTAAAGTCCCCAAAACTCCTTTCTGAAATACAATTTTCATAATTATTTTTTTAATTTCCAATTTAGATATACTAGTTCAACTCCCTTTATGTGCCACCATGCACTTGGATGTGTCCAAACATTTAAGAAGTGCT